AACTGAATAAAGAAGCAACGGCATCTGCGCAACACTTTTCGTTTATAATTCGCAATGTCTTTTTTCTGGGAGTAGAAGGAGCGTCCCTCCCGTTTTTGTATCCATAGATGCTTGTCGGATGTCCCCTTCATTTCCAGAGGTAACATTCTCAAGTGGAAACTAAATACAATCTGAAGACAGAGATGAGTTCCAACCAGATGAACTATCTTCGTCTGTTCGTAACGGACGAAAGTTTATGTTCTCCAAGATTTTTGTTATATTTTTGTAGTTCAGTGAGATACACTGTATGCGTCAGGGTTTTTTATTCAGCTTTGTACTTTTGTGTTTGCGGTACTTTACCTTAGGAGCGATATTGAAGTTGATCCAACTTTCAATTGGGGAATTTTCTCATAAATGATGGTGCACAATCCCCCGGACTAAAGTTTGTACTAACATAAATTTTGATTATAGCGTTGTATTGGACTCAAATGTGGAGTGCGGAAACTCATATAATTCATCCCAAAACCGGCCAAGTTTCAAACTATTTGTTCAACTTTGAGCTGAGTTATCGCTTGTCAAAGTTGCTTCATCTCATGAAAACCACAAGAAACATTACGCCGTTCATCTTGGGACTACAATACCTAGACTTGGGGAATCGTTTTGAAAACTCCAGCGTTTCTCGACTTTGCTGATAATTGGTCAGCTCTTGTTTTCCCATAATCTACCGTGAAATTTGAAGGCTTTTTAACTTTGAGCTTATGTTTCCCGGTTCCTGTCAAAGATGTTATATAAGATAGATGTCAACTAATCAATAGTATATCATGATACGAAAACATTTTATCAGTTGAAACAATTTAAATAACTTGCATAGGAGCCGAGAAAAGTTAGCTCAAACTTGACAGTGTAGGGGCCCTTCTATTACAGGGCTTACGGTAAATTTCGTATTGATTACCAAAATTCACATTTTATCATTTTGCAATACGGTAGATCTAGAAAAAAGTTATTTAGTTATTCCCTTGATTTTTTGAACTGATAATACTTGTTTCTAGTATTCAATCAAAACCAATAAATTCTTTCAAAAAAAGATAGAACCATCTCTGCCTTCTATTCTCAAACTCCTCCCCTTTATTATCTTTATTAGGTTCATATATCGTTTGGTTACCAGTTTCAGCTGCCAACTTCCTTATTTCTTCGTTTTTGCCCCAAATCATCAAAAATCGTTATTCTCACCGGAAAACTATTTTCCGATCAAACTTCACATTTCGACGAACACTTCACACCTAAATGGAAGATATCAAGTATCGTTTTTAAAAGAATATGTACCACTTGAAATGCTTGCAACCTTCCGCTTTTTCTGAAATTTTTTGTTCTGTTGCTTCGCTTCTTTTGCAACACTATACCGTACTTCTGATAGTGGAAACAAAAATTACTGGCCGGCAGCATGTGTTCTGATAAGTGAAAGCGTGAAAAACGCAGCCGCCCGTGCCGTAAATGAAAGTGATGATCTTGATGTTTCACATCAAAACAGGCTTGTTGTCACTATCACCTTTTAAAGCTAGCTTATAACATAATAGCTAGCAATGCCACGTCACCATCTGTTCAGCTGATGTTTTACATTAAGCAGTTTACTGCAAATGGAACAAAGATATTTCCAGAGAGAGAGAGAGAGTGACCTTGATTTTTTTTTCTGAGAGTAAAAAGAGAAAGGGTTGGCCACTTGCCAGCCCAAAGAAACAACAGGTCACTTCATCTAAATTGCTTCTTCCTTTATTTGGAACGACACATTTTATGGGTTGCGTTTAAGCGGAAAAGAGAGATTGGGATGGGTTGGCAGTTAAATAGAGAATATACTTTTGAATGACAATTCCACAGACAGGAATGGGCAAGGTCAAAATAGTTGATCTTCAGGTGACGTAGCGGTTGCTTAAAATAGTAGAAGTACACTGAACTTTCCAGCGAAATAAACAGTCACCACCCTAAACGCGTAGGAAGTCTTGGACAAGCGCTTGAGAATTTTAGCCCGATTGCCATGAAGGTTTTTAAGAAACCAAATATCTCAAATACTCTTGCAACAAATGACAGTAATGATTGAAGGGTGTCCATCTCTAACAAATGAGTTTTAGAACCGATTTATCGGCTACAAAATCGAAATTTTTATATGAAAAGCACTTTAAAACGTTCAGATCATTTTGAAAAATAAGAGAATAGGAAACTGTCTAATTCAAAAGTTGAACAACGTCTAGCTGAAACAAAAAGAAACAAGTGTTATGGCTGGTAGTGCACATACTGAACTTGTAGCAATATTTTTCAACATCTGTTCTGTTCGACCAAGTGTTCCGAGTGTTCGACAGTAATACCTGTAATAGATGAGCCACAAACTTTCAACTTTGAGCTAATTTTCTTGGCATTTTTGGCAAAGATATAAAAAAGTTGTCAACTGATAAATTGTTTATCATAATATCACAATCATTTTATCAGTCGACACATTTTTTTTAACTTTAGTGGGAATTGAGATAATTGAGCTCAAACTTTACAGTGTGTGTGTGTGTGTGCGGGCCCTTCGTGGGCCCTTCTATTGCAGGTTTTGCGGTAACAAGGAAATATGTATTTCCTGAATTCCAATAGACCGGAATTCCCCCATACTGAACATTTGACCCTATTTGAGGGATGATGAAAGAATTGGAGATACCTGGAAACGCTGGAAGTTTTATGAGGAAAAGTTCAAAAGTTAGAAAAGATTTTGTTTCTGGGATAATCTATCGTAAAACCTGTAATAGAAGGACTCCCACACTGTCAAGTTAGAGCTAATTTTTTCCTGGTTCCTATGCATGATACCAAAAATGTGTCAACTGATAAAATGTTTGTAATATTATCATAAATAAGTTATAAGTTGAGAACATTTTCACATCTTTGACAGGAATGGAGATAAATTGACTCAAAGTTGAAAGTGAGGGGCCCTTCTTTTACTAGTCTTACGGTAGGATAACAGAAAATAACAGAAAAAAGAGATGATACCATTCCTACAATAGTTGTTTTAGTTTGATCCCGCTTTGAGATGAACCCAAAGTCAACTATTCCAACGTAACGCGTAGCTCGCCTTCAGTCTGAATCGGCTTGCCTGTCATTTTCATGAACTTTTCTAGTTTAACCCTCATAAATCTCATAAATCCCTCATTGATGAAAATATTCTCATAAATGTATCTTTCATCACTTTCTCCCGTTTCATGCTTAATTATCAGTCTCCCTCGATCTTGCTTAAAAGGTGTGGTTGACAGTCATAAGTCAGTGATGTCGTTGTCAATTGAATTCAGATCTTCGTCAGTCGGAGAGAGAGATAGCTTCAACCGAAGAACAATATATGTTTTCATGGTCATTTCTATTTCATTGTCCCTTCTCTCAGCTGAAAATAAGCCTTGTTACAACATGGAAATCGATGACAGCTGACCTTCAGACAACTTATTCACTTTGAAATACTCTCTTATCGTAGCCGCGAATCGGTTTCACCAATCGACGTCTTCTTCTTTTCAGTCTTGTTCGAAAAAAAGCTCTCTTCAGTTTTTCAGTTTTTCCGAATATTAACCAGATTACCATCTATCTTTTGTGTACTCAATTCACACTATGTCCTTTCGAAACTCCGCCCACTTTTAGCACTTTCCTTGTTTTTCTGTTGTTTTTTTTGCTTTCCAATTAAATTTCATTCTTTTGTCTCCCCTACCAGTCGGAAACCGTTTACTTTGATATCAAATAATTCCTCTTTTTTTGGTGAAAAAAGGAATTACCTGTTGTCAGTTCGGTTTCCTTTCTTATTCTTTTTCTGTTCTCTTTCTTGAATGCCCCTTGAAAAGTAAGAAAAGATTTATGATAAACGGGACGTATTTTGAGATATATATAATCTGTGTAATTATGGGCGCGAATCTTTATGTCGATGGGTGGAATAACGAATCAGTTGTAACTTTATAGTTTTCGTTCATTTTCGAGATGTAGGTTGAGATGAGATGATCTTCCTTCTGATCATCAGTGATAACTTCTTTCCAAAGTTCCCTATTTTCCTTTTTTGAATATGGAAGTGTTTCCATGTTCTACACTTCTGAATAACTTTTTGTCGAACGATTTATCTAGATGAAAGCATGATGATATTCATCTCGCTTCTATGAAACGCCTTTCGGTTTCCATCAACTTTAGAAAAATCCTAATATAAAAAGATGCCACTAAAAATTACCATCTGATTAGAAAAACAAATCTCTCGACTTTCGACTCTCGATCTAAATTCGAAATCTTTGTTATTATCAGAGATTCAGAATCTTCAATAGGTTTGAATTCTGGAAAAGAGAATTCAAGAATTCTTGTAGAACAAAATGTAACTCTGAATGCGCAGTTTTTTTTGCTGATAATTACACTTTTTTATTAAAATGAGGAAACTTACCTTTCCTTGCCTACAGATTCAGGAAACTCTCACAAGGGAACCCAGATTTTGATAAAAATTTCATTATAGGTTAAATATTAGCCTACCTAGACACTTCTGAAAATGTTAAAATTCCATCGCCAGTTTCAGCCGAGTTGTATGAGTTTCAGGACCAAAAAACCGTACTTCATATTTCAGACATATTCTATAAATATTTTTTTTTAATTTTTGATTGCGCTTTGGCCAATTTATCTCGGTTCATGGAGAAGAAATCAGGAAGTAGTCAACGGATAAAATGTTTTGTACATTATAATAAACATTTTATCAGTTGACTACTTTCTGATATATGTTACAGGAACAGAGCTTTCTATTATAGTGTACCTTATCCCGAAATATTCATCAAAATCTGGGTTTACAAGATGTTGAGGTTCCCTTGTCAACTGTTAGTTATTTCATCCTTTTTTTGATTTAACTGCATATGACAATTTAATAATTACGGTGAACCAATCCTAATCGTCTACTATAATCTCTCTGCTGACCCTTTTCCCACCGTTTTCTGTTTTAGTCTTCTAATGATTCTATCAAATCGAAGAGTCACACTCCCGACTCGCGTGATCAAATGAATCTATCAGTAAGTCGAACCGTCCTTTCCTTTTCCGACAACGGCAAAACTGCCAATTTGCCACTGGCGCCTCCAACAAATTGTGTAAAGAAAAAAGACAAGAAAAGGTACCGAAAAGCGAAACCGATGAGAGAAAAAAAGCAGAAAAGTAGGTGTTCGGTGTGTGCGAGAGGAAGAGACGAAAAAAAAGTAAGAGAAAGACAGCTTCTTCAATCAGAATCGTTTTCTTTTGTATGTGTCTGTATTTGGCTGAAATTGGCTGTTTCCATCTGACCACCTACTTAGGCGCAAACCCAAATTATCCGTTTTCGCCATAAAACTAAACAATATTCAATGAGAGGATTTATAGTTTCTCGTTTTTGGTGAAGAAACTTCACACCTTCTGATTTTTTGTCCTCCTTCTTCTTCCTCTTCTTTGTTGTTTATTTTAGACCATATTCTCTTATGAAGGAATTTCCAGATGAATGGAGTGAGAAAGCGTCGATTTCCGGTGATTGTTGCATCATGTTCCATCCTGGTATTGGTGGTTTCCGTGGTTACCGTAAGCAAGGTGTTCCGAGAATTTTCTAATCATCCTTTTAGGCTCAACAAGTTTTTGATGAAATCGACAGCCAGCTTTCGTGAGGCGGCAGGTAACATACCATCCAAACTTATTCTATTCAAAATCCGTTCCAAATATTTTGTTTCAGACAATATTCCAACAACAACAACCCAATCAAATTCAATTCCAACAAAATCGAAACTTTGTGTAAGTATTTTATTTATGCCGCAAGCTTTTTGAACCCACGCACTCATCGTCGTCCTTTGCTTCTATCCCTCTTCTATTGTGCTTCTCGAAAAAAAGAAGTTTCGGAATACTTCTGAACACCTTAATGTCATCCACGTCATTTGCTTCTCGATTCTGAAGGCAAATGAACTGACGCATCTGTGTAAGCGTTACAACATTGCTTCTGTGGTTATGATAACATCTGTTCTATTGTATCATCTTGCTTGGAAAATTAGAGGAATCGAGGCGAACGTTAATTAGGAAAAAACAAAGAGAATAGGGAAATTGAAATTTAATTGACATGATGTCTGAAGTAATTCAAATATTATCTTTCCCAAAAACTAATAGGCAAAAGTTAGAAAATCTTGATAGAGAGGAGAGAAAAAGTTTTAGAGTTTCAATTTCGAGCGTTAATCGATAGGTCTTTCCGGCCTGATTCCAATTAGGTTTCATACGTTTATCAAATTTATGAGCCTCTCAGAAAGATCTTTTTAAAAATGTTTTCAAACGAGCATTAATAATATAGAGTACTGGCCAAAACTTTATTGAATTTATCTCGTTTTAGTGTAATTGTCAACTTTAGCTATCTACAAAATATAAAAGATTTTGGTGTATTAGACTGAAAATTTCCAGGTTTACTAAACAACAACGGGCATTAATTTTGTAGTTGACCATTTTTTCGTAAAAGTTCATTCGAATGAGATATACCGCTCAAAAATCGTGACTTGTAAGGCAATGAAATTTCTGGAAGTTTTGACAATTGGTCTGCTTCAAACGGCATATCTCATTTAGATGAATTTGTACAAAGAAGATGCTAACTACAAAATTTAAGCGCTGTTGTTTTTAGTAAACTTAAAAACTATTAGTCTTATTTAACAAAATTTATTTTATTTTGTAGACATATAAAGTTCACTATTTTGGACAGAAAATAGGTGAAATCAACAAAATTTATGCCAGTACTGTACATTGCAACGGGCGGGGCTGGGCTTTTCTTAGGCCAGCCCGTTTCAATATTTTTCTCACAAAAAGATTTTGAAAATTTCCTGAAACTTCTGAGCTTTATTCTTATTTGAAAAATCAGGGCTCACAGGGCCGGATCCTATTTTTTCCTATTATAATTTAAAATGTCCGAGAAGCAGCAATAGCCCCATTTTGACAATTTCCGGACAAATTTTGGGTTTCGAATGCAATGTTTGAGAGAGCCTATGAATTTGAATTGTTGTCTAGAATCGAAAAATTGGCTATTTTCACAAAGAAACCCATCAAAGGTCCACATTTCTCGCTAGAACTTTCAGTCTATAAATGCTTCTAGTCGCTTGTGTGTGCTTTCCCTTCATCTCTTATTTCAGACTCCCATCAGCTTCTCCACTTCGTCAACGAAATCTCTTCACTCGCCAAATCAGTCATCGTCATCGTCCCCGTCAAAGGTCATCTTTGAAATCATCTCGAACTACTACCCATCCAGCTCATCTAACCACTCGCCGTGTCATTCCAACCTTATCCCACAAAAGAACTCGTTCTCGAACTGGGCTATCTTCGTTTTTTCGCACTAAACCAAACGTCACTACGCGTGTTACTTCTTCTAATCAACGAACAACGACAATCAAGTCTAACATTTCCAGACGACAACCGTTCATCCAAAGACAACAACAGTTTCGATTCCAGCCGCAGAGGGTTCAGAGAGTTCAGACATTGCAAAGAGGAGGCTCGAATCAAAATGCACAGTTTGTTATGCGACCAGGAGTACCTAGATCACCATTTGCGATTCGAGCTCCGTTATCCCCAATGCCATTTGGCTCAGTCCAAAGAACTCCTTCGTCTCTCCGTCGTCCGGTTTCCCCAAATCGTTCATCTCTCCGCCCTCCTCTTCCTCCTCAATCTCCATCCCCTTCAACTCAAATTCTTACCACTACCACTCCAATTCCATCTACAACCCCTCCTACTTCCCATGTTCCAACTACTACCCAACCAGTATCCCTTCCTTCGACCACCCACGTAGCCACAGTTCATTCCGTTGGAGGATCTCTTCGTCGTCCGATTCGTGTTCAACAACTTCAACTCAATCTTCGAAGGAAACCCCAAATGACACGTGGACAATTCAGAAGACCTAACTCGAAAAACTTCCCGTTGACTCGACATCAACCGACTCATCGAGTTACAAAACCTGATAGGTTTGATAGGTTTCTAACCGACTAACTTTCATCGACTCCGTCGCTTTGTTCTAACTGATTTTTGAAAATTACAGAGTGACTAGACCGATAGTTTCGACGACTACACTAGAACCAACGACTACATCTGAAGATGTGTCCTTTACTGTTGCTGGAACAACTCCAGGTATGATTTAGAAAACAAATTATTGTAGAGATTAAAGATTTAGAAGGGATTCAAACACAGCAAAGTGAACTCAAAAAAGTAGATGACATTGAGGCAGCAATCCTTCAGGCTGTCATTGGTAATGTTTCAGATAAATTTTCAGAACAACTGAAAATATTCTTCCAGAGTCATCATCTCCTGAACCACCTCCATCTTCTACAACTCACCGCCCACGAATTCATCGAATCCGTCCTGGACACAGACATCGCCCAGAATCGTCTCCACCACGTGTTGATGCTATCGAGGAAGCTGTTCTTCGAGCAGTTCTTGAAGCAACACCAGCCTCTCCACCTTCAGAAGACGTTACAACCACTCCAGTGGAGGAGACCACAACGACGACGCTGGCGACGGCGAAAACAGAAGAAACAACAACTCAAAAACCAGGTTCGCATTTTCTAGGCATGACATGACGTTTAATCTCATTTTGAGAATCGACATCGCTATTCCCGGCATTTGCCAGCAGACGACATGGTCACAGGCGCCCAACTACAGTAATCCCAAGAACTATGGAAGTGACAACAGAGCCAACAACTACAGAAAGTACAACTACAGGTGAAAATATCCGGAAAAATTCTCAGATACCGATTCATTTTAAGAACTTGCCACAACGACTAAAACCGATGCAACTACGACGACTTCAGAAGAATCAACGACGGCAGTGACAGAAGGAACGACGACAGAGCAAGTTACAGGCATAACTATTGCTCTTCCGGAAGAGGATTTTGAAGACATCAATGCTAAGACGGAAACAGAGAACCATCAGCTTAATCAAATCGAGAAAAACGTCATTTCAGGTAAACATTCCACTGTTAGTTTGCATAATAAAAACGTTTCCAGCTCTTTCCACTCCCACAACATCATCTGATTCATCTTCTCCTTCTCCACCTTCACCCCTCCCACCAATTCCAACTTCTTCTCCTGTTCCTCCATCCCCTCCGGCACCACCGCGCGAGTTCGCTTCTCTTCAAGCGGGTCCACCTGGTTCGATGCCTCCTTCTGATGATATTGTCGACGAGCTGAATGGTTCTTCCGATTTCTTGCAAGTAGCTCAACGACTTCACTTGCTACGGAGACTTCTTCAGTGATTAAATTCATTGTTTTTTTCTTCATGAGCATTATATAATAATGACCAGAATAACTTTCACGATACTCAAGCTATGCCGTCCCTTTCTATTAGATTAGATTAGTTGCTGCAGTTACCTACTTCCAAATTTTATTACGGGTTTTCATCGATTCCATCTGTTTCGCCAATAAATGTGTTTCATCTCTCGACTGAAAGTTATTTTCATTTGAAAATTTTTGGATCAACATAACAAATAAAGGAACAACAAGGGAAGAAAAAAACAAGTAATTACGATAAAAAATGTTTTGAGGATGATTGTAGGAAAAGATAATTGGATAGAATGTAACAATGAGAAGAGAAACAAAGAAAAAGTCTAGCACGGATTAACGAGTCAAATCAACAAAAACATACAGATTTTCGAAATTTACTTATCGGAATTCCTTTCACAAAAACCGAGAAGCAAATTCGAACCACAACAAGAAAGATTATCACTCTCGTCCCCCATGCACTCATTCCTCATCGGAATCGGATTCCTTCTTTTCTTTCTTTGCCTTCTTCTTCTTTTTCTTTTCCGACGCATCGTCTTCTTCAACTTCTTCGATCTTCATCTTCTTGATGCCTTTCGTGCTCTCTTCATTATCATCAAACCGCTTGTGTTTACGGCTGGCTGGGGTATCAGCAGCTGCATCGTACTCGTACGTCTCGCTCTTGAATTCGTACTTGTCGTGTCTATGAGATCCGAAGTTTTGCTTCTTCGATGGTCCACGCTCCGATTCTGTTCTGAGAACATTCTCAAGTGCAGCACGGCATTCAATTCCAATTTCGTTATTTGCTGTTTCATCAGAAAGAGCATCAATTCGAGTGGCGAGAGAGCATTTTGCAGCAAGTTTACGGGCCATCTGAAAATCACAAAAATAGCTCGAAGTGATTCCAGACGACAACAACATACCTTTCCCTTAACCTTTGGTGGTGCCTGTGTGATGAGCTGAGCATGATAGATCAATCCGTACTTTGGAGTATCTTTCTTTGTCTTAAGGGCACGGAAAAGAGCTTTCTCGGCTCCGAGAATCTGAATTGTAGATGCTGGTGCTTTAGCCAACGAAACGAGAGATCCGGCATGAGAGATCAGACGAGCTCCAACGAGCTCTCCGAGAAGAACAGTGAGATTTGGAGCGAGAGCAGTCATTCGATTTTTGAGGTAGTCGAAGAGTTGAGCACTAGAAATCAATGTTCAACTATTGAAAATTTGCAAGTTTTTCACAAACCGATATTGTGAGAGCTCGATAACCTGCTCGCAAAGTCCCTTGATATGAATGAGATCGATGTCAGAAATGTCGGTTCCCATAGAGATCTCAGCGTCTTCCTTAACCTTGGTCTCTAGCTCTTCTGGAAGAATCGACGACAAATCGGTGTTGATGCAGTTTTGACGCATTCCAATGGCTTTAACGATCTGAATAAAAATTATTCTGTAATTAAACCAAATCTCAGATACGAAATCCTACCTTAGCATAAGCTTGATGATCTTGGATGGTCTTTCCGAGTTCTGGGAAATGCCATCCATACCACTCTCTGGTGCGCATCACGTAGTTGTTGAGCTCTTTATCGAGATCATCGAGAAGAGAAACGGCTTGAACGATCATGGTGTCGATTTTCTCCGGATTGAACTTCACCTTATAACGGGCAAGTGAGTGAGCCACTGCGAGATTCATTGCGTTCATCTCTTCCTTGTGCTCAGCAAGCAAGTCTTCAATGTGAGCACGTACTCCTCTCATCAACTCGTTGATTGAGCTGTCATGAACACAGTTCAACGACATTTTCTCCTACAAAACGAAATTATATACTTGAAGCTTGAAAAACCGTATAGAACAAACCTTGATGAGGTTTCCAAGCTTAGCATCTCCAACAGCCAACTTCTCAGTCTCATCAACACTGGACTTCAAGAGTTTCTTTCAGGTCTTGCTGAGCTTTCCCTCGGTGATCTCCGAAGCAGCCTCGACAGCTCCAGCTGTGGTCTTGAACTTTTTGAAAGAGACCAATTGCAAGCTAAAACCAAAAACATTTTATATTGGACTCAAAACTGAGAACCATACTTTTCTTGAGCCTTCTCGGCGGTATTGAATTCCTCCCAAATGTTATCAACATTCTTCAACTTCTTCTCATTGCTGAGCTTGAATACCGCATAACCGGCCGCCACCTCGAACAGGACGAGCATCTTACCTGAAAACACAATAATATATTTTAAAAGACCTTCAACAATTGATACTATAATTCGATAAAAATACATTGTTCAAATGATCTCAACAACAACAAGTGGATACGTTTTGAGATGCTGAATATACTAAAAATCAGTTCCTCATATCAGTACCGGCCAAACTAACTGGTAATTACTGATGAAAAAATCGTGCTTTTAATCAATAGTCTTGAAATAGGACCACTTCGAAAGCGAGAAAAAAGAGAAAAGATATTTGGCAGACAGCCAAAGAAACCTTTCGTGTCGAGACCCGTGCGCGGCAAGTTGAATACTGAATGGTGTACTCCTCGTGGACAAGTGTCTTTTTTCTGCGAAAACCTTGGAACTTCACAAAAATTATCTAAATAGAAAATCAAAACGAACAAAAGGCAGATAATTTAGGGGTAGGAAGAGGTGCAAAAGGATGAAGGAGTGCGAAATCCATAATTGGGGGGCTCAAAATTCCTAGATAAATTGTATTTTTCGCGCCGCTGAGTTGAATTCTTTCAACCATATAACGATTCGACACATTTGGAGACGAAGTTCCAATTCAGCGATTCAAAGAAATTCAATTTACCCAGGAATTTAGTACTTCTATATCACTTTGTACCCCGTTTTTCCCCAACTCGTTTAATCATCCGAAGTTGTGGCCCGAGAAAAAGACGCATCAAGAAAATCGGTGACAATAACGTTAAAAATATCTCCTGAATTAGTGAGAAAATCATGAAAACCGATTTCTTGCGAACCATTTTATTGAAAATCAAAAACTACAAGTAATTTAACAAAAATTTCAATCACCGACATCGGCTGCAACCAAAAAATGACTAGAACATTCAGACATGGATGAAAAGAGTATTGGACAAAGAATAAAAAAAATGATTCGGAAAACAAGCGAGTTCCTGATCTTTTTACAAACTCAAATCAAAATCAAAACCCTGTAAAAAATGACAGATAGACCCTAAGAAATCACAAGCTTCAAATTAAAAAGCAGAAGAACATTCAGATAATTCTAATCCAAACGATAAGGATTTACATTATGAACGGAACAATTCGTTTTTCGAACTTTTCGAATTGAGCTGCATTCTTTTTCGGCTTGGCATTTTCATCACACTTTCCATTCACACATAGACCCCAATAGCAGATTGGCCAGTCTTCAAATCCTTTGCAAACTCCATTTCTTCGAACTTTGCTCACACAACTTGGTGGATGTTCGTCATTCGGGGGAATGTAACAGAATAGATATCTGAAATCATGAGAACTTTTAAATAAGGATGATAAGATTGTATACTAACGGTGAATGACAATCTGGCTTTTCCTTACTGCACGTTGATCTTGGATAGTATTCATACATGAAATCAGTATATCCATTGGAGAGTGCGTCTTTGTTTTTCAGTGGCTGAAAGTGAACGGAAAATAGCAGAATTTATGATTTATAAAAAAGCAGCCTGTTTGCTGCGCCTTCGGCGCATCTATCCTCGTGACACGGGGACCAACAGACATCTCTAGCGTTTTATATATAAGAAAGAATTACCTGTAACAACGGCATGGAATTATCTCCATTGTGCCAGAACGGGAAGCATCTTTCATCACTTTTCGGATAGTCTTTTTCTCTTTCCTCTCTGCTTTGCATATTTTGTCTCCAGTTTTCGAAAATCCAGTCGATCATTCCATGGTGATAAACGAAACAAACATCATTTGAAGAGGAATACGATTTGCTCATATCTCCATTCACGAAAAAATGAACATAATCATGAGAGAACTCTAACATTCTTGCATCAAGAGTATGGTTCATAGGGCATGTCTATAATTACCACTATTTTGGAGATTGTATATTATAGTTTGAAAGCTTACTGTCAAAGGCATTGTTGCTCCAAGAATCATATTGATATCTGGATTGTTTATCAACCAGTCAACTCGAGCATCATTCAACATTTCTCCTGATTCATCTTCACCAAAGTTTCGAAATATCTGCGCACGTCCTTCCATTGTCTCCCAGTTATGATATGGTCCATTTTTAACCATTCCTTTGTCATCCACTTCCCCCAAAAATAATTCTGAGAATATGATAGAATCTTTAGGTTCAGGAAGCAAAGAATCTAATGTGGAATCCCAAAAAGGAAGACCAAAGTCCGGATTCCTCATATGATCACGAAGAGCCAACTCAAGTCTGGAATCGTCTAGTAATCTCCTCTACAGTACCTTCTATCTTACCTTTTCAAAAACTCTCTATGCCACAATGTAAATGCAGGTCCTGAATGAACTCCAGAATATTTGTGAACTCTTCCAATCTTATTGTACAATCCACTCTTTTTCATTGCATTCCATGCATCTTCAATCATTCTTCTATCCTCATCTCTCAACGATCTCAACTCTCTTCTTACTGCCCGTTTCAATAGTTGTCCACTGGGAAGATAACATTCTCCATTTTTAACGTTTCCTTTAAAATATCCACAAACACAAGTTCTATTCAGACATGACATATATTTCATCTCGTGAGCTGTCCAGTCTGGTGCTATAAAAACATCGTCTTCTGGAACATAATGTTTGCCGAATGCAGACTCTTCTTTTTCAGATGCTTCGACCTGAAAAAGAATAATTATAGGTGACTTCACTTCTAAAATGTTTGAAGAAATGTGGACTGGTTCCTTTTCCAGTTCTAGAAATTGACCTCGAAAATGTTTTTTAAAACTTAAAGGAGGGTTAAAGGAGATTTTTAGAGTTTATTCGGAGTTATGGTATAAAGCGGCAAGTTCCAATAGCGGGCGAAGGGAGTCTAAGCGGCCGCCGGTGGGGCAAAAATGGGCGAGAAGACCGCAGAAGGCCCAACGATGCGTGCCACTCAAAAAGGGGGAAATATAATTTTTTGAGATTGCTGTTAAAATAACTAACAATAAAAAATCAAATTCTAGCCATACGATTTTCAAGTTTTTGTCAGAAACCATTCTACAATTCTGAATTGGATGATTGGCGGCTGAACGACGGGTAGGCGCGGCACCCAACCTAGTGTCAGACCCACAAGTCCAACTACTCGAGAAGCTTATATGAATGGAATTTTGAGAAAATCCTCTTTTTTCATGCCCCCCCCTTAAAAAATACAGTAACATGAGAACTTACTGGATCGTGGTCGTAATGCATATGTCTGAACCATGGCTGCTCGAACTTCTCATAATATGTTTTATTTCCAATAGTATATTTAGTAACTGTCACATAAGCATTTGCTGTGGTCCCCAAACAGATAAAACAGAGAAATACAAATCGGTGCATGATGATGTGGGGAAATGAATCAGTGACACATATATCGAGACAGGAAGACAACAGGCTCCTCCCCTTCCAGGAAGATTCTGCAATCAAAAAGACATGTGTACATTCAATTCATCAGTAATAATTTGGCATTTTCTTCCGACCGCCCGGAAGCAGCCGATATGAACGTCGTCATACGAAGAAACGAGTTTACAGCCTCTTCTTTTCCGTGTTTCTCCGGCAGTTCAGTCTACCAGTACAACGGAAAAAAAGGACAAAAAGGAAAGGAAATAAGCAATTGATTCCGGACAAAAAACAAGAATCCCATTGACTAGCTTCTGTAGTTATTGCGCAATGAATTCAAATCAGAAGAAAGAGTGAAGAGTCGATATATCGGTATAACCCCAGGAGTAATTTGAGGAAAACGAGAGAAAAATTCGTCAAACAGATTGCTGGACGAATTGGAACAAGAACAAGTTCTGATTTTTTTATTATCCACAAACAGTTGGCTACTTTTTGAAATTCAAAAACGGACAAAAAGTATATTCTGTTCGACAAGTTTTTTGGACCGGGAAGAAAATGTGGGAAATTTCAAAGAGGTGGGACAGAAAAAGAAGTTTGAGGAATGGTTTTGGGGCAAGCATCACAAGTCAGAAACTTATTTTTCTTGTCATTTGAGCTTAATTTTCTTGGCTCCTGACTCCGGAGTCCTGAGAAAAATATCAAAAATATGTCAACTGATAAAATGTTGGAAATATTAAGATAAACAATTTATCAGTTGACAACTTTTTTCTATCTTTGACAGGAACCGAGATAAATTGGCTTAAGGTTGAAAGGTTCTAATGATTTTTAAAAATACACCAGCTGACAAGAAGAACTACTAGAGATCCTTCTTATAGGGAAGCAAAACTATCTGAGGGAAGAATAAATATTAGATCCGACTAAATTTAAATCAGAATTCAAATTTTGTTTCTACCGTATAAAATCTAATCAGCCTAATTCAATAATTCAAGAGGGAACATGGAATTTTAAAAGGTTTTTTTATTTATATTGGTTAAAATCATAAGATGAACATCATCATCTCGAGATCAAGGTCATTTGAAAAGAAAACAAAAATAAAACATGGTTTTCACGAATTAACAAGTTTTAAATTTGAAAGAAAATAATCGAAAATCCTATGGACATAATAAATCAGTCTATATGCTGGTTTTAAAATGTTGCTTTGTGTTTAAGACTCTGACTACAGTAACCCCCACCAAAACCTTAAAGCCAATCTATCTCATTTTCTGTAAGATATCAAAAATTGGTCAACTGGCAAAATGTTACCCATGATTTGATAAATATTTTTTCAGTTGACCACGTTTTGATATCTTTCACAGAAATCGAGATAAATTGGCTCAAAGTTAAAAAGTTAGGTGCGGTCATTCTATTCGACTGATTACAGTATTATAACCTAAAAACTACAAGAAATGGAATTTAAAGATCCTGCAAAATTCAGAACTTGCGGAATATTTTCTGAAATTTTCAGATTGAAGATTCTGCAACGTTCCTCTTGTGTTTCTCTGAATTTTATGCTTCTGCGGGTGGCCAGATCCATAAAACAATTCTTGTAACAAATCATAAAGTTTTTTTCACCGCCTTCAGAAAAGTGAAAAAAGGATACATCCTTGTTGATCTAAATTTGAAATCAGAAAATCACAAAATAGTGGTCTTGTAGTGATTAGTCGGCGAACAGCGCAAAACAGCGCGGGACTATAGTCGCAAAATAACCTGAAATTGGTTTTTTTTTCTGATACGGAGTGGACCGTTTTTTGGTCGATGAATCAGATTGTGTGTGTGTGTGTGTGTGTGGTAGAGAGAAAAAATGGAACAATAATAAAAACACAGAATGTCTTAAAATTAACCTTCATTCTGACAATGAAAAAAGGATCACATTTGATTTCCCACAACCCGGTGGTTATTAGTTTACATCACAGTAAATAGATTTGTCCCAGCAATTAAAGTTTTGAAAAAAGAAGAATTATATATTAGACTATCTAATTATTAGCTCCACCAAACCAACTGGACGAAATTCTATCGTAGAATGCACTCAGCGATGGCGTACTTTTCGAGGAACCTGAAAAATGAACCAATCAGCCTGAGTCGCTGTTTAGATTCAATAGAATTATTGTAGTTGTTCACAAAATTTAAAAGAAAAGAAACTATTCAATTTACCTTGTTGCGATGGATTTGCCAAATACTTGTTGTTCTTCAGTCTAGGTCCGCCGTTCTTTTTATCACCATTCATCTGAAATAGGCGAAGAATGATACTAACAAATAAACTAGAAAATTCTATCTTACCGTTCTATCAAGTCTGGGAACTGTTGGAATACGAGAAGGTTGCTCAATGTGCACAGATAAATCTTGAATTTTTGAGAAAGATGACGGGAGTTGAACTTCTTTGCTCGAAAATGTGTCAGCAACAATAGACGAAAAAAGAACCTAGAAAAAGAAAAAAAACTTTGAACACACATGTTTTATTATCCTACCTGAGTTCTAGTATAAACCAACTTGACATTAGCAGCTAGAAGAGAGGAGAGCAATGACACGTCAAATGGATCTAGATGAGATTCGATCGCGGAACAAACCGAACGCATTCTGAATTACATTATTTTTCTGGATTCTGAGGTTTTGCTCTCACTTTTCACTTGGAAACATGGCATTGAGTAACTGACAATCCATTAGAACTTGCAGTGTGGAACGAGTGGGCAGGTGCCAGCTTTCTTTCAGCTCTTCTACCCGTGCTCCAATCAATTCAGATAATCGCGACGATATGTGATCACCAAGTAGTTTACGGATTTTCTTGGTCAGAAGGTGTGAAATAGATGCTTCTGCTAGACGACACGAAATGTCGAACAGAATAGCTTGAAGGGATGGTGAGAGAGCGATTGGTATGGTTACCTCTCCGACGTCAGGGAGCTCAACCGTTTGGAATTCCTGTGTTTGAAAGAATATTGATAGGAAAATGTTGAAATTATATACCATAACCAAACGAAGAGCATACATTCCTCCTTCGAATGATTCCAAGTACTCGGTAAGATTCGAATGGGTGACATATTCATCCACGACATCTTTGCAGAAATCCCTGAAATACAGCTTTTATCAAGTTATTCTTTACTAGTAGTCGAACTCAATTTCGAAAAAAGACAGGCACCCTATAATCAACTGACACCGAGAATTTGTGTTATTTCGAAAATCTTGAAGTTGCTATTAGATTCGAACTTTAGATATTTCCTATTTTCTCAAAATACACATGATTCTGTGAGCATAGGAAACTTAATCAATACTCTTTTAGAGTACTGAATGCAAAATTTGATGTACTTTGATTGAAGTACAACATACTTAATGTACAACTTCTAAATATCTTCAATTTTGTGTTCGTAGTCTATTAGATTTCAAGGGGAACGAAGATAAGCAATCGAAGCCCATTCTTATCTCTCTTATTTCTTTTTTCACTCCTTTTTATTTTTAGAACATTCTCTGTTATCATTCTGATTTTATATCCCATTGAATCTTTTTTTGAATTTATGAATCACACCTATTGCAAGATTCCCTTTTTGATGAAATTCGCTTGACAAGGACCATTTCTCTTTTCGATGTTATCGTAATGAAAACCTTGAAAGTATATGAATATCTTCACGCCTTCACATACACCCATCAGTGTTAAGTGAAATTCAATGTTTCGGTTTGAAGGTCAATTCTTTTTCGCACATATTTCGTTTTATCTTTCATGATTCACCGTTCTGAAAATGCTCTCTCTTCCCTGTTTTGGAGTTACTGAAGACCACGTCAATTACGGCCTCACCAAACAACGCATTCTGATAGAGAGAAGGAGACGGAAAAAACGTGTGCATTATGGCAGAGACGAAAGCGTTTTGTTGAAACCAAAACCGAAAGCTGTGATAAGCAAAGCGGGCCCCTCCTCCTCTCGTCAGGGCCCCGTTTCTATGGTTGTTTTGTGCCTCATTTTTCAAACCCTTCTCCTCTATATTATCTCGTTTTTTTTTCGGGGCGGAAAAAAAGGCGGCTCTCTTTCTCTCCGACACCACATCTGATTAGTGAGTTATTATATATATATATGGAATATGTATATCACTGCAGACGCCTCCTTTGCCTCCAGTCTCTCACTGGGGATTTGTGTGGCGTTGATAAGCTAGGGGTAGAGAAAAATGGCGAGGGTGAGCGGAAAAGCAAAGGAAAGAAGGGCCCCTCTAGAAGCAGAAGAAGAAGGCGAAGAAGGCAGAGAGGACCTGGTTTTCACTGAAAAACACAGCGAGTCCTGATATCAGCAGGCATCGGTGGCGCCCAGATTAGGGATCCCTCTTTCACAAAGTAGCTCCATTTTGTCGTCGTCGTCATCCAGCTGTTGTGGCAGAATTCGTTTACCTTCTCACTAAAAAATATTGCTATTTTATTTTCTACAGACTTTTGAATTCCAGATAAAATAGGTACTTTAGTTTCTAAAAAAACAATCTTCTCTAGATTCAAAATACATTTCAAAACTCAAATTACTATCCCATTCCATTAGAGTATCTCATGAACAATAAGACATAACACCTTTCATGCTCTATTCTATCCATTACCGTAATCTCCATTGCCTCGTTAGCCTTTAGACAGTGGCCTTAAAGTGCAATTTCCAATTCTCATTCCTTTTTGTGTCCAATGTCTGTATTCAAACGATACATACGTCGGGCCGAAAATCTCTCGGGCGCTTGTGAAAATTTTCAAACTTTCAAGGTTGTTTGCTTGTGAGAAAAAGAAAAAGTGTGCGGCCATCGAAGACGATTTTTGCTGATTGAGGGGTTCGAAACACACTTCAGCACAAACGTCCCGATGCTTCATGTGACACCAGGTATCTTATCGGAGGACAGTCAATCTGCCAAGTCAGCAATACTATCTTGCACTTTAGGGAGCACCTCGCCTTTGCTCCGCATAGTTGGGAAGGTTCCTTGTGATAAGCATTGGCACACTGAGAGATAGTGGAAGTAGCGGAGAATCGAAACACGAAAAGAGTTATGATGCAGCCGATTATGTGAAAGTTAATAGAAGGATCAGAGCTCGCTGGGAACCATGAGCATTCGAGATCACGGAACGAAACTTTTCTGAGTCCCCTCATACACAACGGGAGGGCCTGGTAAAGAGAATTTTATTTTGAGTGCCTGTGAAAAAAGGCACAAACAAAACTCAGTGTTTGCTTTCTTTCCCGTTCATACAAGATTCTGAGATCCCTGTGTCCGTCCTGTAGGTACCATGGTTTAGTGAAATACGTCACTATTGAATTAGGTTGTAATTAAACTGAATCTTTCTAAAAACAATAACAATCTGACGATTTGTTTCTTGAATCCTTTCAAATGTTTCCTGTAGCACCTCCACCGCTTTCAAGCAACCGTATGTTTTTTTTTCATCCATTTTCTGTCGCTCTTTTCTCTGTCCTTTCTCCATCAAACATTCCTCGAGATGGGACCTGACTTTAACTGAACTGTGAGGACTTGTGACGTGTAGGTGCGCCTCCAAACAAAACGCTCACAATCGAAATGGAATCTGCGGCCGACCAGAGAGAGGAGAGGTGCCTCTCTATGTGTGTATGTGAAGAAACGAATCGAAACGAATCGAAACGAATCGACAGGCAAACGGGGCCGGTTGTGTATACATGGCTGACTGCGGCGCCACCGCCGTACGAAAATCGTCGGCGACTCCTCGAATTGAGTGATCCTTCGGAATGCGCGCGCGATGCGCAATCGGCCCTCGAGGTCCGTACTCGAGAGAATACACACACACAATAATGTAGACCGCGCCGAGGCTGTTTCGAAAGACACTCAGACAGTCGGAGATATGAAAGAGAGAAAGAGAAAAACTACGGAATAGCAAGGACAGTCCAACAAGGTCCTGATTCTTGAAAAATAGCGATGGATTCGTAGAGAGACCCGTCCATCCCGCCTTGCGGGCACACAGAAACATTTCTGTTGTTGCTGCTGCGCAATGTGATTCGTTGTCGTCGGCGACGCGGGTGGGCGCCAAAATACAGAATACTTCTACAGTAAACCGAACGAGACGCAGAGAAATACCAGAGACCACAATAAATTCGCAACAATTCACCTCGGACAAAAACTTTCGAGGTTCAATCAGGCGCTCGAACGCTAGCCTCGTTTCTGGACCCGCCCACGGTCCTTGGCAGCAGCATCTTCCTAGAGATTGCCTTTTCATGAAATATATTTTTTAAAGTTGTGACTAGCAAACTTTGATTCGCCAACGTTGGAAATCAGTTGGATGTTTTTTATTCGGTCCTTGGAGATTAATAATGCTCCATTCTACAGTATGATCTTTGTTTCCGTAGTATGCTTCAGAGAACATCTTTGAAAGTTCCCAATTGTGTGGTTCCCTCTGCCCTCAAAAAATGATGCAGAAGTAGTTCAGAATCGAAAAATTCAAGACCGTTGGACCAAACATCGTGATAAGAATGTGCCGGTTGGTGCCTACCGCACGTTGTCATCATTTCCAAAAGTTACTCTCAACCGCTCTGTAAGTGGACTCCTTCCAACTGGAAAATAAATACGAACCTGCGGGACGGTGGGCATGATTTGCATCGCAATTCGATTTGTGTCCTCTTTGTTCCTCACCGGTCCTCGGCAACAAAAATAACGGATACCACCACCGCCGCACTACTCCCTCCTCTCCTCAGCGCCCAAAACGGTTTGCCTCTGATGCAACGAACATGAAGCGTTCTCTTCGAGAGAGAGAGAGAGAATCGAACGATCAATAAAAACAAAAGCAGCTACCGGTGGACGGAACCATCATTCGCCGCGCTGAGACAAACATAAGTGCGTCCCATCTTCGCTCAGTTCAACGCCGTAAACAATAAGCCCAGGGATAGTCTTTCGTGTAGATTCTTCCGATTCCAAGGTCCGACGGTATGGACCGCCTCCCCCGCAAACATCTCTCCCTATCTGTCTTTAGTCGTCTGTCAGCAGGCTGTCCCGAATACACAAACAGTTCGGGTCCTTGTCACCATACAATACTTCTTCTCTCTTATCAGTTTTATTTTCAATCCTAACTTTTTCGCTATCACTAGGTGTCACTCCTAGAGTTTCACGAGCTGTTTCTTCCAAAAATGTTGCCATTTATTGCTGCTATCGACGTCGATCATCGATACTGGCCTGGCGCCCATCTCTTTTTTGTGCCCCAACTGCCTATTTCGTAGCGGAAAAGAACGAGTGAGAAATGGAGACTGAGAGCAGTCAGGAGAGGAGGAGAATCGGAACGTAACCGGTAAAAAAAGAACACGCCCCTAATTGGCAACAATTTTGAGCCACTTGTCCACTTCTGCTTTCAATATCTAATGGCTCCGAATGTTATGGTTCCGTTTTCGAATTTGTAGTTAGTCGTGATTCATACATGTGTCATGGACAAACACCGTGTACCTTGCCAGCAGCAGCAGCAGAAATTTCGCGCATCTGGTCTTCAACTTAGTTTGTCCCGTGATGCCAAAGAAATGTTCAGAGAGTGTCAGGTCCTTGCTATACATTTAGAAAAACTTTTTTCTAAACGTATTCTATTTCAAAACATATATAATACATTTTGGCTTCTTCGTAGAATCGAGGAGTTACTGTAGCATGCTCAACTGTATTTCTGAAGACTATGAACAGTTCCGTTTCCTAGAATCTCGTCCCATATATTCCCATACGCCTAGTTGTTTAAATTATACGGTAATCGTAACTAGTGGACCACCTTTCGGAGTAACCCATTTCGAATACAGTCTGCAATTAAATACGGATCGGGACAAGAAAGGGACGCGAAAGTGAGTCTTTTCTTTCGTGTATCGCCTCGCTCTCTCTTTGAATAGTCTCTCTCGAGGACCGTGAGTAGTGCGGTAGAAGGGAGAGATCGCGCAAAATGAGAAGTTTCCGAAAGAGATGGAAGGAGAGACCTGTTCGTGCAGCGCCAGCCAACTACTGACTGAATGTCTTCAATGGTCTCTTCTCCCGTTTTCCCCCTTCGGTGTCGTGGCCCCGTTCAGTAGATCCCTCCTATTGCGCACCACTCCAGTCACTTCACTCCCGTTTTAACTAACACCAACCACAGTCAAAATGTCCTCGACCATCCTTTTCTCTCTTTTCATTGGTTCTCTCTTTCTCTCTTTTCTTTCGTCCGAAGTTTGCCGCTTCGCTCCACACGGTCCCCACAGTTCCATAATACAGTGCGTCAGAGCGTGTGTCTCTGGCTGACTATGTTTGTTTAGGACCTCTCTGTTATTGCCACGTTATCATACTGTAAAAATTCGGCCACAATTTTCGATTTTTCTTCTCCTTTTTTAGCTTCAAGTACACTTTTTTCAACTTCCTTGTTTCTGTATTTGTGATGATAGTTAGGATAACAGGAACCAGGAAGTTGAATATTTAATGATGAAACTATGCAAAGACTCTCCTTCATATTGGTGTTTCATTTCAGGTGATTTGAGCCATGAACTCGTTAGAGTACCTCATTGCCAATCCGCATGTATTGTCGGATTCATCCATTGTCGATGCATTGACAGCATTAGCAAACTCTCCTAATATGGAGAATCATGATGAGGAATACGATATGGAAGTGAACAGTGATGACGAAATGAAGATCGACATTTCTGCTCTCATCAATCCAAGTGTTTTCAATTCTATGCAGCTACCAATCGGAACTGGCAGGTTTCCGAATCCATCACCTCCTCGGTCTAACAGTGGCACTCACACACCCATTAGGAAAACACCAGGGTATGTTTATAGAAGTAAATGACTCAAAATTAAATGAATTATTTCCAGAAGCCGACCAGATCGCGGAAAATTCACAATTTTGGATGGTACTGAAGTAGCAGGTCCAGAAGAAGTTTTAAATGTCGACTTCAACAGTGAAATTTTGCAAAGGATTTTCTCTGATCCAAAACTTGGGTATGCAAATTAATCCTTAAAAAAATAATTCTAGAAATCTTTTTTAAGAATTCAATTCCTAGCTCGATATGGCCTTATTCCTAATACAAGAGTGTGCCGTGTGCAAGACTGTCCAAAAGATCAGCTCATGAGTTTGATCAAACATGCCAACGGTTTTGTGGTAAGCGGTGCTCACTATTCAAATCCAAGCTTCCAAAAAAAAAAAAATTTCAGTGGCGATGCAGGTCATGTCGTAAGAGAAGAGAAAAGCGAATAATCACAAAGATCTCGGTATACGAAGGAACATTTCTATTCTATTCCCGGATGCCACTCAACAAATTCTTCATTTTCATGCTCATTTGGTGTGAGAATCCAGGACTATCCATCACAGAATACAATCGATTGATGGGTGAAAACAGACTAGTAGAAGAAACGATATACAATACTATTGGATTCATGCGAGATATTATTCAAAACTGGTGTGATACGATCATCACTTCAAATGTTCCTATTGGTGGCCCCCACAGAATCGTAGAAGTTGTCGAAACTTTGTCTACGGAGCAACTTAGCAATAAAACTCGAAACAGGAGAACTCGACACTATACAACCCGAACCGTATTCATTTCACTGGCAGATGACAAAATCAAGTCGGTTGATTTTCCACTGGTGAGTATTATTTTCAATTAATTATATATTTTGATTATTCGAAAGTTTCAGCACAATGTACACGACTTAGAAAGAGCTCTACTCGAATGTGTTCAACCAGGAAGTATTGTTGTGATGCGTGACTCATTCATGGAGCGATTCGGTCAACAAGAGGAGATCTCAAACGCTCTTTTCAATCACTACAAGGTGAAATCAATCTGTGACGTTTGGCTAGATTTCAACGAGCAGGAACGTTCCAAACAATTTATCAAGACTGAGATGAACCAAGTCCCTAATGTGAGCCAGGAACCATATGCATATGAATACTTCTTCCGTCGTTGCTTCGCTGACAAATGCTTCAACCATCTGCTCAGAGTAATTCGTCTTCTTTATCAGAAATGATTAACGCCAACTCTTTTTTTCTTTTTTGTGCTTTTTTTAGTTTTGAATCTAGTCGTAAACCCGCTTACCTCAGAACACTCATTTTATAGCTATTCGCGTACCATTTTGTCTACTTGCCTTCTCAGTCCGCTAAGTTTTATTGTTTGTCATCTCTCATGTCAACAATCTCAATAGGTGAAACCTACACTGTGATTATCATAAATCCCCTTTTCATGCAATATCCTTTTTCCCTTTGAATCCACTATCAAAATCAACCGAGCGCCTTTTTCTTTCTCTGTGTTAAAATATAATTGTGATTCGAAACCATATTGACCCCCGTTTCCTAATAAATCCATGTTTTGAAATTTCACTTACACAAGATTCTTCTCAATTATTGCATGGAGTCGTTGATTGAGAGACGTTATGCGTTGTGAGTCTTTGTCGAGGAGAGTGCTGATCAGTGTAGATTCTGAGTGAACGAGAGCCAAAGCCAATCGAGCTCTAGACAAACTTCTCGTCGACTCATTTTGTTGATCCGAATGAAGTTCGCATAAACGGAGTAGTAATTGTAGAACATTCGTTGCCATCTTTTCCTTCATTGCGCTAGCAATTTTTGTATCTGCCATTGGAGCACAAATTGTTTCGAATTGAGAGCACTTTTCGTTCAGTTGTTCAAGCGATTCCCATAGAGTTTTGACGCATCTAAATGATGGAAGCTATATGAAGGAGATCAATTAACTAACCTAACATATCAGTTCAGGTTTCAGAGTTTTATATTTATTTCTTTGATAATTTGGAGATTGAAACATGCTTTTCTAGTCAGTACAAAACACAATACTTTTCTAGGTCTCATTATGTTTTGCAGGATGTAATATAGCAATATAAACAAGATTATTTTAATCACTTACTTGTAAAGTTGCGTTGATATCCCAATATGAGACTGTGAGTCCGGACGATAAGTGCGTTCATCAAAGATAGCAGTTGAAGGCCCGTCACTTGTGGATTCGAATCTTTTCTTCGCAGCAATTTCAATTGATTCTATCATTTGAACTAGTAGCACCTGAAACATCATAATTATTTTTTTAATGAAATATTTCACTTTTTACACAAACCTGTGCTTTATCCACTACTGCGGTCTGAAGAAGTTTTTCATAAACAGTTCGGTTAGATCCGATTTTCGGCCAATCTTGCTTCAGGGACAAGGTGATTGCTTGGAGAAGATCGATGATCTGATCTAAGCTGTCGAAGTATTCGCAAACTTCGGATACCAACTTGTGAGTAACCAGACAAGTCCTGGAAATAGAAGAATGGAAGACAGTAAAGTCAAAGTTAGAAACCTATCGATCCATTCAGCACACTTTTCTCCAACGAACTGAGACTGTAATGTTCCAGCACTTCTTCCGCTGAGCTTCTCTCTCATATGTCTCCAAACTCGATCAGAGTCCTCGTTTATAGTTCTTTCGAACGAATATGACTGATCAGCGCACATTTCGCGTATGAGTTCTGTAGTAACCTTGTGGAAGTTGAGAAACCCATAAATTCGAATTCATAAATTGTAACTCACCACATCTATATTGCCCATTACAAACTGAATGAATGGCATGAATAAGTTCTCCATGTACGAACAATTCTTCGACAACCGTTAGTGTCTTCTTTATTTCATCAACTATGCTCAGAATAGTCGCTGAATCTTCAATAAGGCCTTTTATATAATCGAACCGTTTCTCGAGATACAGATCCAGAAGTTGTCCAATTTCTTTTCCTTCAAGTAACGCAATCGCGGCCAGTTGATTGGTAGCCCAGTCTGACCGGGAAATATCCAAAAGTGTAGAAGTGTTTTGAAATTCAAGTTCAGATCGAGTCGCAACTACACGGTTCGTCAGCCCTCTCGCAGTTTTATGAATCTAAATTGTTATATTAGTGCAGTACACCATGTTTGAAGAACTTACCACTGGAGATGAATGATTACTGATGAGCTGCTTCTGTAGATGTTCGACCATGCAAAACGCTACTATATCATCAAGTGGTTCACCGCCTGAAACATGTTCATTGTATCATTTACTACATAACAGTTCTACCATCGTTCCCTATGCTCGATATCAAATAATTTACAGCATAAAGATGTTCTCCGGCTTTTTGTTCATCCTTACTTCCCGTTCTGCAAAGACTAGACAGCAATTTAGAACTGGAAATGCTTGAGATTTACCGCAGAGGATTAGACTGATAACTGATTCGAGTGTTGGCAATGTCGGAAGCAAGTTTCTCGGCTAATGTACAAACTTGACGAACTTCAGACGAAGCTTCGAGAACATCTCGGTAGCGTCGGCCTACCATTTCGCGGAGGCTTTCTCGCTTACCCTCCATTTCTTTTCTGAAGAATTTTATCGTAATTACCGATTCAGATTTGAAAATCTTACTCTAGGTTCTGTTGAATATTCTCCAATTGATCGACTGTCAGATCGCGCATCAAGCGATCGACGTCCATCTATAAAGGTTGACACTTTTCAATCGTTTCATTTTTTCTGTTTTTTGTGAATATAGAGATCCTCGGAAAATGACCGCAATTTGAAAATTTAGAAGTTGGAGTGAAATGTTTATTCATGTGACGATGCGATAATGAATAATAAGTTATGCTTTACACATACATTAGAAGCAACTGGGACAAGAAAAGAGAATCAAAATAGTTTGGTGTTTCAAATCAATAATTAATTTGGGTTGATGAGCAATATATGAGAGTCAATGAAATCAGTGAGCATCTCCTGCTTTTCCGGCAACTCTCTTGAACTCGTTCATATTCATTGCTGACAGAGCAGTTCCGAAGACCGTCAGTTTGACAATTTCGGTCACCTAAGAGAAAATAGTTAGAAATTGAAAATTTGATATATCAAACTTACATCTCCTCCTCCGATGTTGTCTTCAATAAAGAACTGAATGTTCTGAACATTCTGGAACTTTACGTATTTCAGTGCCTGAATCTGGCCATCTCCGTTTGTGGAAGATTCATCGAATTCAAGCAACTGTGTTGGTTCGAGGCCAGATGCATTATCGAAGTCGATGGTCTTCGGTAGGTTGATGAACACCTTGACCTTTTTTGGTGCACGGTCAGCCACACCTTTAATAAGGACGGAGTGCACTTTCACTGGTTGATTGAATGGAAGAGAAACAATTAGTTGTTCATCGCAGTCTGACACTAAATTGCAGTTTCCTTCGATGAAACGATCCAAAGGAGTATCGTCACATCCGTTCAAGCACTCCATTTGCTTCTTATCAATGAGAGCGGTCAAATCAAGCTGACCGTTGACTAAGGAGCTGCTTGACGAGTTGTCTGTGAACTTTTTGACCATAGCTTCCAAGCCTTCTCTATTTGCTCCTTTCATGGTTTCCACATTTCTTCTGAAATTGATTTTTGAGAACTTATTGATCATGCGGGGCATCACTCTCACTCTCTCGAAAGGAATTTTTAGGGAAGGAAGAAGACTAAATACCGTCGAGATTTGAATACATCTTAGTACCCAGCCTTGTAAACCAATCAAATTTAGACCTACCCATTCTGAAACACGATGAATGTTGGCATTGAGCTAACGCCGTAAGTAGCACAAGTTGCTTCACAGACATCAACATCGACTTTGAGGAAAACAGCTCCAAGATGCTGATTAGACAATGCTTCAAATGCTGGAGCGATCATTTTGCATGGCCCGCACCAAACGGCTGTGAAATCCACGATGACAGGCTTAGCACCGGCCAGAGAGAGTTGAGTCTTGAAATCTTCATCGTCTTTAACGATGATAACTGGCATTGTATAATCTTAAAAAATAAATAGATAAATTAGCTAGAAAATGAAAAAGGTTTTAGATATTGAAGAAAGACCAATTCTACAATTGCTGGACATTTCTGTGATTACTGGATAAAGGATTTTAGGCTGAACTAACACTGACATTCAAAAACTTTATGAAACATTGAATCTTTGAATATCTTCCAAACAGAAGATGTGAGAAACGTGGAAATGCGATCAATTGTCAGCATTGAAGCGTTTTGAAGGCGATGTGAGGCAGTGTGCGAGAAAGGGAGACGCAGAAGTTTCATGCGCGCCCTATCGCACACAAAAAATGCGGGAAATTTTGAACATGTTCAAATCGTCGACCCTGCATCTGTTTTATTTTCCCATTTTGGTATACATTGAGAACATTTTTAAACAAATTTATATCATTGCTGCAATTATTCAATTTTGATCATGTCAAGAGTTACCAGGTCCCGAGCTCGGAGTGAAACTCCGCAAACAGTGGTGACTGATTTTTTCAAGGTATTCACAGATATTCAGCGCAAAATTGATATTCTAATTATGTTTTCCAGACAACAAGGAAACCGAGATCACGAGGAGAGAAAAAGTTAATTGAAGGTACCGTACCTCTTGAACGTCGAATTGAAGCGAAACTTGTGACAGTAAAAGAAGAACAGGAAACACCCGCTTCGTTCGATAACGCGCCCATTGCTCCCGTATTCAAGAAAAAGGAATCCCGTACTCGAGAGCGGACTCCAACTCGCCAAGCGGAACTTTCAACTCCAGAAGTGACGGGAACACCTCCCAAGAAATCTAGGGAAGTTACTGCTCAAGGAGAAGAAGCCCCATGTCTTCCGATCGACGCTCAGGACATTGTTCTCGAGAATGCGACCGTAGAAAAGTCAGCCTTAGATGAATTAATGGAAGCATCCGGACCTAGAAAAAAGAAAACAGGGATAAGAACTGTGGCAGATTTGCAAGCGAGATTGGCTGCCAAAGGAGCTGCAAAGGCAATCCATGCACAGAATTCAAAGAACAAAGCAAAGGTGGTCGAGGAACACGCTGAAATGCTGAAATCGCCAAAGAAGAAAATAGTTGAGTCATCATTGTCGCCATCAAAGTCAAAGAGTGCTCGTGCATTGTTCACTCCGAAAAAGTCTGTACCCGATTATGTCGTTCCTGGATTCAACATGCAAAAATCCGCCGAGAAGATTCGCGAGGAACAAGACGATGCTCATGAGGAGGAAGGGAAAAGAATGACGGCTGAATATTTGAAAGTTTCCAAGCTAACAGAAGAAGTAAAAGAAAGTGCACGCCAACGAATTGAGCTTCCTTCTACATATGCACATCTCGCCGACTCATTCAAACGAGTAGACCAAATCGCATCCATTTTTATGGGCCAAAACAGAACTTGTTTGGCTTCTGAATTGTTCAAAAGTGTTAGAACGACTTCGGGAAAAGATTTTTCTGATGAGCATCTATCTCAAATTCTTCATGTGTACCCTGAATCCTATCATGTAGAAATGCGTGAGCAGCGGAGAGCGTTCGGACAAGGTGGCAAGTATGAATTAGAAGTTCGACCGAATCTTGTCGATGGTAAATGTTTCTTTCATTCAATCTATATAAAGATAAACTTTCAGATTTACGGGGATATGTGGTTGAGAAGGCACAATCTCTAGATGATGACGACGTGCCTCTTGTCTGCCCTTCTAAATTACTTTCTCCTAAAAAAAGCCCAAGAAAGAAAGTTCAACCGGTTCCAAGGAAACCCGAAATAGATGCCCGGGTTCGACTTGATGCGGCCCGACAGAGAGATCGAGCTCATATTTTCCGGCACAAACTCTCGACTATCGTGATTGAGCGGCACGCCGAGTTTCTCGAGTCTCAAGGATGTAAGATTTCTTTTAAATCGTAAAAGTAATTGTGCCGTCATCAGCGCTGTTTGGCGTCCAAAATTTGATTCCCTATAATTAGAGGCATATTTTGTGAAATGGTTTTTTCTTCTAAAATTGACGAGAAAATGGTATGAAAATGGCTCTCCAAACGTCTATGATCTGAGTTTTTTCCGATCAAATATGTCAGCGAAATTGATTTTCTGTAGGTCTTCTAAAACATCGTTGATTTTTTCAGTGCCAAATATGCACAACTTGCAAAGATTACATCCTCTGTTTCGTCTTGAAAAACACTGTCCAATTCTGCCAAAAATCAAGCTTCCTGAGCCGCCGATTCAGAAAAGTTCGATTCATATCGGAATGCGGGAAGCACTTGAGAAGCAAATCGACTTGGAGGAAGTCTCATTGCCGTCTTCTGTTCAGAGGATCATTTCGGATCTGAAAAGTCCTAAAAAAGCCACGACATCGGGTGATGTGCCGTTGTCTCCGAAGAAGTTTTCTGAAATGCAGAAAGAACAGAAAAGCAAGGGATCAATGTCCTTGTTGGAGAGAATCCGCGCTAAAGAAGCTATCAAAAAAGCAGCCGATGCATGTGTCGACAAGGATTTAGAAAGAAGAAAGCAGCGTCTGACACTACTGAAAGAACGATATGTACGCATTGTCTGCAATCATTACACCGCCAAAAGGGCGCAGACGATGGAAATGGAGACGATCGCCAAATTTGTACAGTTTAGTTCGTCAAATCCCACGACTATTCCGGACATCACCGATCATTTGAAGTTGATGTGTGAGGTTGCACCGATGTATATCACTGAAGCTACTTTCATGAATAAAAAGTGAGTTTTTTTCTGTCTGTTCAAATATTTCTTATTCAATTCATTTCAGATACCTCCGCTTCAACGATAACAACATTGAAGCTATCAGTGAGATTCTGGTCGAGGAGCTTGACAAGACACAACAAAAGATTGATGCTCAAAGAAATAATCAAGTTTCTCAAATGAGTCACACACCCAGGCCGAAGGCAGCCAGAGCTCTGAAGTTTGCCTGAACTTGTAAAATACTGCTCTCATTTTGTTCTCGCTACCGTTCAATTAAGATTCCAATAATTCCCCTATGATAATCTGCAAGTGCACTTCACATTTATTTGTTTACGAAACCAGCAAAGTAAAAAACCTCGAATTTTCTAGCTTTTTTTCAGTAAAATACTGAGTTTTTTCCTTGTTTTTGCTATTTCCCCCTCAATAACCCCAATATTCTGTACAATTCCAAATTTTAACTTTGATAGCTATTTGAATAAACTATTTTTAAGAATCACTATTAGATGATGAAAGCTTGTTGCATACTTTCGACATACTTTTTCAATACACCTGAAGGCATGATATTGCGTCATTCGGCAACTGATGACGCGCTTTCGGTTCTCTAGGCCAAGGGCCAACGGTGAGGCCCCAACCTGCAAAATCTTGATTTCATTTTTCATATAGAAAACATATAATGCTCACTGGTCGACTTTTCGGTTATCTGTGCTCACGGTCTTTCACCAAATGCTCAAATATTGCCAGCAGATTCACACGAGATGGCTTGCGAGATCGATTACGGCATCAAGAATTTAAAGAGCTCGCAAAAACACGAGATGCTCAATCTGCTGTCAAGCAAGCTTTCAGTCCGGATTCACGATCAGTGAGGCCGTTATCAGATTTGTGGAAAGTAAGTTTAGGCCTCATCCCAATCTCAAAATTCGTGTTATATTCTAGGCTCTCCGTTTCACACTAGCCACCGGCGCAACAACATTTTCAATAGCAATAATCACAGAAGTATATCAACGAAGGAAGGAAGAAGCTGCATTGCCAACAAGTGTTTTAGATGTGGTGAGTTGAATACCGTTTTCTTTTTCGGTGAAAGAAGAATTTCTGCCAAAGTCGAGTTTTTCGGCAAAAAGTTGTATTCTATCACCGTCTCAAAAATTTTAGGTCAAAATGTATTTCGATCCTAAGGTTGAAGCTGGCACCGAATATCGATTGACGACAGGCGAAAAGCACTTGGCACTTCTGATAGGACTGAATATCGCGGTAATCAACTTCTAATAGCACTCTTTGATCTGATTTTTGATATTTTCAGGTGTACCTGTTATGGAAAGGGAAGTCAATTAAGCCGTTTATGACTCGATACTTCACAAATAGCTATGCATCAAAATCGTTGTGCTCGCCCATGTTATTAAGCGCGTTTTCACACTCTTCCATCATTCATCTCGGACTCAACATGTGAGTCTTTATTATTGATAAATTGAAAAAAATTTTGATTTCAGGTATGTCATGTCCACATTTGCACCACACATCATCGAGAAATTCATGGGACCCGAGAAATTCTGGTCTTTCTACATTACCGCCGCTGTAGTTTCATCTTTTATAAGCTTGGTGGACAAAGCAGTGATGCGATCCGGAATCAGAGCTCTCGGAGCAAGTGGAGCTATTCTAGCTGTCCTCACATACACTTGTATGCAGATCCCAGATGGTTGGAACATTCATTTACTTCGAACGATCAGTTATTATTGAATTTCAGCTCGACTTTCGTTGATATTCGTACCCGGATTTGAATTCTCCGCCAAAAGTGCAGTATATGGAATCATTGCATTTGACCTTCTTGGGCTGTTCTTACGGTAGACTATCTATTGGGCAAATAATGAATCAATGATCATGGGTTTCAGATTCCGTCTATTCGATCACGCAGCCCATCTTGGCGGATCACTATTCGGCGTTGGTTATGCACTTTTCCTTCAAGAAGCAATTTGGGACAAATACGGAATGTGGTTAGAGAATCTTGTATTTTCATCGGAGCGAAGCTGATCTGATTTTTTAAGAACTCTAGTTTACGTGGTAGTTTCATCTCATCAATCCATATGTCCCTATCGACTTTGGACGACCAATAAATCAATTTCCTTATTCAAAAAATCCTTTATTAAATTCGTTTTATTCGGAGACATAACAAATGTATCAAAAAAAAAAAGAAGTTATACAGGAAATCAGTTACAGTATTTCTGGAAAAGAGCACGGAGCGATTCTTCGGTAATCTGCGATTCGACAAGTTTATCCTCGCAGCTTTCTATTCCATTGATCCCGACAATAACAGTTGGTGTTGCTTCCACAGTGAAATCGGTCCCGTCCACTGAAAACATGAGGGACCAATACACTTAATGTTGTTTTACTAATTTACCGAGACTTTGGCATGAATAATTTACATACAGAGCCAAGATCTGTTCCGAGTATTCTTGAGCCACTTGCTCGAAAATCGGATTGACGTCATCACAAGTGAGATTACTGTAATAGAAAAATGCAAAATTTTTGAGTTTTTTAAATACTTACCATTCATTGTAGAAATAGAAAATTACTGGATAATTTCCAGCAGCACAATATTCAGCCCGAAGTTGTTCATTATTCGAAACAGAGATGAGGGGCATTGCAGAAGACAGAAACGTTACTAAGCGAACGGACTATTCGATTAATCATTTTATACTGATGGTTCGGTCAAGGTCAACAGTTACAGTGTAATGGAAATATATTATTTCAATTAAAGGTATTTGATTCGAAATTGAAACTTCGATAACCGAAGAAATACAAAAAAACAGAAGAAGAAGACGCTGATTGGATGATTGTTCTCACAAATCAGACAACTTCGCACTATCTCATCATTGAAGGGAGAAAGAAAATAAATGATAATTTCGGGAAAAATAACGGATATTTAACACAATATTTTAAATTTGAAAAAGAATGGTTTAACAATAACATACTGTACATGTACAAACCTAAATAATGAGGCATAAATAATAGGAAAAGAAACATGGATTTTGAAAAAGGAATTATTAGCAAACGGGTATGAAAAAGAGAGTAAATTAAAACTATAGTAAACGTAAATCATGGTTCAAAATAAGGAAACTAAAAATGATGTTTGAAATGAAATGAGTATTCCAAATGAACGAGTATTTCACGACCAACATTTTTGAAATACGGAGATCATCATTTACAATAAAAATACCAAGAGTGTGAGAATGACGCCCCTTCATCCACTCAAAGTTATCCGAAAATAATTATTTTAAGTTTGGGTTTTGAAGTTTTCAAATGGGCAAAATTATGAAATAGAGGGAAGCATGAGAAGGCGAGGAAATATGAAAATCCATCAAGCGTTCTGGACTTTTTATTTTAAGTATTTCCAACTTTCGAACTTGGTATCTGAATTTCTCAAAATCTAAAGAGCAACAATTATGTTATAGCAAATTCTTGATTTTTCTAAGATTTTGGTTTCGAAGTTTTCTGGAATGTCTGGATCGTCCAGACTTTCAATTCCAAAAATATCCGCGCAAGAGGTTTTGGGACTTGAGCAACTCTTCTCAAATTTAAAATGGGGGATTGCAGGAATTCAAAAATTCTGGAATATTGTTAATTCAACAATTCAGTGAATCAGAATTTCATTGATACATGTTGAAATATACGAACCACCGTAAAAACTCTAAGTGCCACCCAAAACGTCAACTTTGAGCCAATTTATCTCGGTTTCTGTAATAGATATCAAAAAGTGGTCAACTGATAAAATATTGTTGATGTTGTGATAAACATTTAATTAGCTGACAACTTTTTGATATCCTTCTCAGGAACCGAGATTAATTGATTCAAAGTGGACGGCTATAAGACATTATATTACAGTGTTTACGGCAAAGATTTCTCGTAAACTCACAGTTTTTCTATATAAATTCAATTTGATGTGATCTCCGTAAACTTTAAAAAATGGGGGCTAACTCTATGATTTTGAAAATAAGGGAAAATCAGTACTTAGTTTCCAACGTTCAAGTTGCAGGATTTTGCAGTGGCTTTAAAGCGTTTCAACAACTTCCAGGTCTTCGAGGACAACTTCCAGTGATGTTTCCAGAATTGGAATAGAATGAGAGGTAAGGAAATGGAAATTGGTAAATTTACGAAATTTTTCAAATTCTAGGAGCAGTTTGGTTTCCGGGACGCACCAAATGCAAGGACGGTTTCTAGGGCAAGATTGGCAGAAACGAGGAAGCGGAATATAATGAGAGGTGAGGAAACGGGAATGGGTAAAAATTCGAGACTCTCGGGTTCGGACAACCCATTTTGCTAGTTTTGCATTATCAAGAAAAAAGTCATTTTGTAAAATTATTATGAAACACCTCGAAAACCTGAGAAAAAAACTCAGCACTCATTTTTGAAAGTCAACTTTCCAGCACCTCGAGGACATCTACCAGGCCGGCATCCAGGATTTGCAAGGACCTGAAACGAGATGATGACAGGAGTAGCGAAATAAAATGAAAGATGAGGAAATCATCCTGGAAATGGGAATTGGTAAATTAACGAAATTTTCTGGGGTTTGGACATTCCATTCTCCTAGATTTTAATTTTAACAAAACTGTTGTAAATTTTTGATGAACAAATCCTTGACAACTTTTCGCAAGTATTTAGAAACATACAAATAGCTCAAGAAATCTGAAAATGAAAGAATAAAAAGTTGATTTTGTTTTAAAACGTTCAAGTTCCAGGAGCTAATTGGTTTCCGGGATGCACCGAATACCAGGACAGCTTCCAGCGCAGGATGAGCAAGGATGAAAATGTCAGGAGTATCGAAATATAATGGAAGGTGAGTAGATATTTTCAATTTTCATGTTTTTTGTTTTAGTCAATGGGGTAAATGGGGATCTGTACAAATGTAAGAAAATCAGTATAAACCAGTCCAATTTCAGATTTTGAACGCCACGGGAGAAAGGATACCGAGTCGGCGTCGTAAAGTCAGAACTTCGTGAACTTAATTTCTTTTTTGTGATGCCTTTCTTTTTTGCTTTCTTCACTTCGTCGATGGTTTTTTGGGATGTCTTTTTCCTTCGGTTTTTGGTCCGTTTTCGTTGTTCTAGTTTCTGTCGTGTTCCTTCAGATTGGGCTTTAGGTCATGTTGTCCTTATGTCGTGGTCATCATCACAGGGAGGAGAGAGAGGGGGAGGGATAGTTCGTTGCCCGTTGAAAAATTTTTGGTACGTTCACCAGAAATTTTGTAATTGAAATTTTCCACCTGGGAAGGCAGTGGTGGATGAGCTCCGTTTCGTTTTCCATCATTATTTTCCATTGTTGATTCGCTCCTGGCTCGCTATTTTCTGAAAATATTAGTTGATTTTGAAAATTTTGTGTGTTGTCCGTTGTTCGCCATCCGTTGACCGGCCATTTTTGGTTCCGAAAAAAATTTCGCTGTCTGTGCACCTCTGGTCCTTGAATTCGTTGGTTGACAATTAATAACAGTTCGGAGAACGTATTCTGGCTGTTTGTGCAATCTTGATGAAATTTAACAGCAGACAGAAAAATTGAAAACGCATTTTCCTAAAAAAATTATCTGGGAAAAGTGATTGGAAATCTGGACAAAAATTTACAGAAGGAGGGGTGTGACCTCGTATTGATTGATTTATGGATTTATTGCGTGACGTTAATAATAATTTCTAAACGAATAAATCCGATTTTTTGAAAAGCTTGATAATTAATTACAAGTTGATGCGACCTCTGGAAAAATTGAGTAGGGGAGCGACGAACAGTAGAATAAATAGGTGAAATCGCGTCGAAGGCGCACCAGCGAACTGTTTACAATGTAATTGCCCGATTTTTTAAATTATACATATTCTAAAACAAAGAATAAAAGTTTTCGAAGAAGTTTTCGAAGAGAAAGAAAAAGTTTTCGAAGAGAAAGAAAGTTTATTGTGTTTTATCCAAGTCGTCATCCCAGAATATGTTCGATTTACTCGGAACTTTTGTAGGCGGTTTTAGTTTCTTCTGGATTGTACCCTCTCTTGCAGTATTTTCTCTGGGAGAGAATTCCACTCCAGTAACCAATGATGCTGGAAAATATAATAAATATCACAACGTTTCATTTTCCTATTAAACCTGAACTCTGGGTTTTGACAAGTGTATTATCTCCAAGAGGAGCAGATTTCTGTCCAACGGATTTAGCAACAGGAGGAGCAACAGTTGGTTTAGGAGCCGCTTTCATCTGAAAATCATTATGAATTATCTTGTTCTCTCAAATGAAAGATACCATAACATATTTGGCATCATTCTTCCTTCTTTGTTCCAATTCAGCTTGATCAACTGCATCTGCAACATTGACGTAGACACGATTCTGGGGGACTTCATCAAAAAAGTTTGTCGTATCAAAAATCTGACGAACGCGTTCTGAAATCCGAAATTTAGGAAATCTGAAAAACGAAGCATCGAAAACCTTGAGTATTTGCAAAAAGAACAGATATGTCAATTGTTTTGTAGTCATTAAAAACTTCAATCAGAACATCCTTGCCCATCAAATCAACATATAATATCGCTGAACAATCTGAAATACCCCTATTTATTTATTGGGTTTTCTATAGCAGACTCACCGATTATAATATGAGTAAGTTGTGTTGTCTCAAACTTAATAGATGGATCTGGATCGGGCTCCGGTTGTTTCTCATCCAAGACTTTTGCTTGGTGTGTGGTTACTTCTAACTCTGAATATTAACATTTTAAAGCTACAGTCCTAATCGAAATCTAACTTGTCTCTTTGGGCTGTGGGTTTTCCGCATCTTCTTTTTCTTTTTTCTTTTGAGCTGCTTTTCGTTTTTCGTCTGCCTCGGCTATTTCTCCTCGGACTGAAAAATTCAAAATTCCGAGAAAAGTTCATTTGAAAAATTGTACCAATAAGAGGATTCAATCCACACGCTTCATGAATTCGTCCAACAAAAAGTTCAGAATTTGCAAAGTAGAGTGGAGAATCGAATCGAAAAACTTTGATTCCAGGAATATCATAGGTCGTTTCGTAAAGACCAAGTCTACGAAAATGATTCGTACCTCGTATCCTTCCTAGAAGTGTGCTATCAGCCCTAAATAAGAATTTTAGTGAGAGAAAAGAATTGAAACCAACCATTGTGATCTTAAAACGACAGTTAACAATTCGAAAACCACACCAATAATCAAACCAAAGTTGACGTTCAGTACGATCACAGAAATGAATGTAGCTGCGAAGATGAGCTGAAAAACTTCTATAAAAAACAAAAAGAATTTTCTACACTCACATAATCCACAAAATTCTTATATCGTAATGCAGAGCATGTAAAAATCTGGATATAAAGATCCTTCATAGCCACTACCACAATTGATGCGAGAACTGGTTTTGGAAGATGTTGAATGGTTCCAGAAGCTCCCATCACAAACAAAACTAGAACGCAAGATGAAATAATTGTGGAGAGTTGAGACTTGGTTCCACATTTCACTTGCATCATTGTTCTTCCAAGAGAAGATCCTCCAGCAAAGCATCCGAAGAAAGAAGACGTTGAGTGCATTAGACCAAGAGCATACCATTCTTGATTTGAACTAACAACGTATTGTTGTTTCTTCGCAATCAATTTGCACAATGAAATATGAATCACAAATGATATGATGGCAATTGAAATCGCAGATCCTATCATTCCGAACAAGTGTTTCGTCTCTGGAGCTCTCAGCGAAGGCATTCCACCCTCGACTTCTCCTACAGTATGCACTGGGAACTCGTAAGAGGTGCCTCTTGTGAAGTGAACAGTTAACGTCATTCCAATTACCAAAACGAGCTCCATCGGAAATTTGACTGGAATTTTCTTGCACATCCATGGATCGATAATATACGCAGATATTAAAAGAAGTTTGACACAGATTACAGAGATTATCACAGCAGGAATTTCAGCATTCTTTATTTGGGAGAAGAAACAAACGTAGAACTGAAAACGAACGGTTTAGAACTAAAGTGATTAAGCTAAAGAGTACCTGTATATGTTGAAATGGTTCACTTGTTGGAGGTACATTTGATATTCCTGTCATTGATTTTAATTGCGATGTCAACACATGTACAGCTGCTCCAGAAATGAGACCTTGCACCAATTGATCTGATAGCCAAACTGCCAACAATCCTGCATTCATTAATCCAAGAAGAATTTGAAAAAGACCAGCCAGCAGAGTGACAGAAGATGCAATTGCAATTGCTTCAACTTCGGAAACTTTTGTTTTGTTCTCACGACAACAGAATTCATCATTTCTGATTAAATCTGGATTTATTGGATCTGTGGGCTCTCCGAAAGTTTCAACAACTGCTCCGACCATAAGAGAGACGATCGCAAAAGATCCAGGTGATGCATGTTTTGAAGTTCCAAATAATGCATAAACGAATGGACCAATAATTCCAGTTATGAGACCGTAGTTTGCGGGAACTCCCACCAGCATTCCATATGCGAGACCTAAAAAAGGGAATGTATACCTGTGATAGAAGGGTCCCCACACTCTCAAGTTCGAACTAATTTTTCTTCACTCCTATCCAAGATATTAAAAATGTGTCAACTGATATAATCTTTGTGATACTATGATACATAATTTATCAGTTGACAACTTTTTCATATGTTCTACAGAAATTGAGATAATTGAACTCAAAGTTCAAAGTTAGCGGGCTCTTCTATTTCAGGTCTTACGGTATCCAAATACTCACTCTGTGGAACACTCATTACTGAAACCATCAATCCACCAAGTACATCAAATAAGAAGCTGGATCTCCATGTATATTGAGGCAACCATATGGTGATTGGCATCAATCCCCTCAAAAATCGACACCATTCTTTCCGTTTCCATTTTCCAATACTTTTCAAATGGAATGCAATTTTTCCGAAATGTGATAAATATTCTGGATTGAAACGATAAATTTTATCAAAGGCGGTCTGTAATTGAACTGCATCATTTATAAATTTGTTAAATTTATCAAACTGCTGACCTGATCAGGAACATCACTTTGTCTTGATTTAGTGTAATTTAGTACCATATTTGCTTCGTATGGTAACATTCTAAAATCATTAAACAGTTCTTTATTACATATCCAAAACAAAAACCAACTCTTCTGGCGTCTCTCGAATCGGACTCAAAATAATCTTCCCCATGTTTGTACCCTTATTTTCTGCCGGACTCAGAGATTGAGTACTCAGCTCAGGGAGGGGCGAGTAGTTTGTTGTGGAGTCGGTGCGCAGTCGACGATACATTTTTATAGGTACAAATATAAATGATACTTGAAAGATTCAGCTTTCTAAAAATCCCTATTCAAAAGAGTTGGACCACGTGCAGCTGTGAAAACAAGTTGACCTAAAATCGTTATAGAATTGTTTTGTGAGGTCAAGACGTGCTTTTGTATATTCGGAGTTTCAGCATACAACTCTCGAACCAAGTAAATATGACCCATATTATTTGGGAGAATCATTTATTTGAAATCAATATCACAAATCAAAGTTTAAGAGAGTTTTATTGTAGTTCAAGCAGCATATTTCTCGAATATCTCCTGCACTTTATCTTCTTCTCCGCCAACATGTCGAGTGATTTCTTCTCTGAAAGCAAATTTTAGAATTTCACCTTTGGATTGCAAAAATTTTCAATTTTTTTTTTCAATAAGATATTATAACTAAAATTTTGAATGATAGTAACGCCGATAGCCGTGGTCCCCAGAGATGTCCGGATTCCGGATTCCGGAAAATTTTCATTTGTCCGGATTCCGATAAAATTTTCTATTCCGGATTTCAAGCACATTTTTTAATTCTCAATAATTATCTGACTTTTTTCAAGTTCCGCTACTAAAAATTCTAAAATATAGCACGATATGTGTCCCGCCCATTTGAAGAACTCAAAATTCCGGATTCCGTATTCCGTATTCCGGATTCCGGGTTTTTTTTCATTCCGGATTCTGGAAAATTAGTTTCATTCCGTATTTCGGATTCCTTTTCTCAAAAAAGTCATTCCGGACATCTCTGGTGGCCCCAAAACGACAACTACCGTAACCTAAAAACATTTTCAATTCCCGGATTTAGTATCTAAAATTGAGGAAATAAATCCGGAAAATAAAAATATTTTTAGGTTACGGTAGTTGTCGTTGTGGGACCTTTTTTTTTGTAACAGAATATTAGTTCAGAATTTCTGTGAATATTTGAAGTTGTAAACTTTTAAAATCTCTCACCCATTGTCCATTACTACAAAAGTGGGCGTTTTGTCGACTGCAAATGCTTCTCCAGTCACTTAAAATCAAAAGTTCAATTCTACAAAAAAAATCTAGAAAAAAAACAGTTACATTGGTCATCGTTGTAACATGAGTATGTGTAGACCAGTGACGTCTTATCGTACTTTTTACACAAATCTTCGAAGAGAGGTTTGATACGAAGACATGATGGACAGCTGGAAATGAATAAAAAAGTACTATGGTCCAAAAATGAAAGTTTTACTTTTCTGTGTAGAAATAATAAATGGCTCTTTTTCCGATTCCGTGCTCAGATTTCTGGAGAAAATCTTCGTCGCTCAAGCAATTATAAACAACCATTCTGTAATAACAACAAAAACAAATATTTGGGGAAGAATAGATGATCAACAAGTGTTGCAATATTAGAAGAAGAGAAAAAAGAGAAAACAAATGTTTCAAAAGATGGAAAGGGGCTCAGACATGCGAAAAAAAAAGATGAGAGCACAGAGATGTTTGGTTTAGTGAATTAAAAAAACCATTCCATTTAAAATCTCACAATTCGAAACTATTGAAAAAAAAACTAGCATCTGGTGGAGTAGTGAGGCTTATAAAGCTTTGGTTCACATTATTTTGTACTTCTTATTATTCTCCCACGCCTTCCTGACGTCTGAAAATGAAGTCAGGTCATTTTGAAGACGTGAGAAACCATACATTTTATGGAAAAAGAAGCTGTTTAGATTCTGTGAATTGAACTATTGATATTGAAACCCACAAAATAATATTCCCGAACGTTTTTTTTGCAAAATGGGGAAGCACCAACGATCAATTTTAGGACAAAGTAAACGCGTTCTTTTGAACGAAAAATATGACATCAGCCGGCGGTAGAAAAATGTTTTTGTGTTTATTTTGTGGTGATATTCGAGATGTGATCCTCAAATCAATAATTCTGGAAACCAAGGGAAAATGAGAAGAAAAAAAGAAACTGTGTTGGAAAAAAAAATGTTTGAAAACTAAGACTTTCTGACCGATTTGCTTTTCAATTATTGAAAACGGCTCTTTGTTTCTAGAAGATTTTTAAAAGAAAGTTTCAGAAACAACGAAATATTAATGAACACTTTTGGGAGGCGATTTTTTGGATTATCGTAAAACCTGTAATAGAAGGGCCCCTTTAACTTTGAACACATTTATCTCGGTTCCTGTCAAAGGTATCAAAATGAGGTTACCTATTAAAATATTTTTGATTTTATGATAAACATTTCGTCGCTTGATCACTAATTGATATCGTTCACAGGAAACGAGATATATGAGCTCAAAGTTAAAAGTTAGATGGCCCTTCCGTTTTAGGTTTTACGGTAAATAAAGAGAAGGTTGGAGAGGTAGAAAATTGAATTTTAGAACTAAAAAAACTAGAAACTTTATGATTATTGACAAAGAGACGATGAATGTTTTACATAGAGTTTATAAATAGGATTCCATATAACTCGAAGAAACTAGATGAATTGTATACACCTGAATGACATAGTAAGTCTGAATCACAAGTAATTGGATCACAGACACGTGAAACACCTTTATCAACATGATGGTGTGAATCGTCGACAGTTTTATCAACTGCATCGTTATCATAAACAAAACACCTTCTACATTTTTTAGACCTAAATCAGACCCCCATGTGATAAGTGTAAACCAAAAACAATTGACAAATAAGAAGATGGGATGGAATAACTTGATTGTAGAAACTGGGGATTTGGAAAAGTGTTGATATATAAAGTATATTTGATAGCTCCTATTCAATTCATATGTCGTAGAGGACTACTGAGATGTTTCCAAATAAAAAGATGTTTTACTGAAAAATATAACTTTTTTAGGTTGAAAAAATAATAGTTAGAAGGTCCACTACAGCAGATGAGGTTTAAAACTGTTGATAGAAAAAAATGGAGACACTCTTTTATACAATATGTTTTGTGAGGATTCCCGTGATGAAACACACTAAAATCTGAGCGATAACTGACCAATTGATCATGCCGCAGAGACGAAGAAAAACTACAAAGTTCAGTTTTTGTGTTGACACCCTACGAAACGAGACGAAGAATCACATAAGAAGACGTGCCGAGGAGAATAAAACGACTAGAAGATTGCTTCCGGCTATGTCCAAATAAAAAAAACAAGGGATTCCTAGTTCTGCACTTTCACTCACTGAGCATTGTGTTGTTTCCTTGATCATTGAGCAGAAAAGGGAGGAGCACATGTCGAGACTTTGTTTTGTTGCGCTTCTTTTAAATTTAAAATGGAAAGCTTGGAAAAGTCCTGATTGGAAAAAGAAACTAAATTTTTTACACTTTTAAAGAGGATGAAGATCCTACAGTGCGTTTCATAAGTATAGGTTCACCCTCGGTAGACAAGGTGGGAAATCTTGGAGGTTTGGGTTGTTATAATATTAAAGTCCATGTAAAAATACATATCGCCCACAATTTTTAGACCGCTACTACAAAAAATAAATTTTTTATGTCAGAAAAAGTCTTTTTTTTGAAAAACGAGCGTTTCATAAGTATAGGTTCACCCTTGAAAAAAATTACAGTTTCACATAGGTGATAACTTTTTAACTATTTTTACTGTTTTTAACTATTTTTGCGTCTTTGACTTCGTTTTTCTTATGCCGCGAGCCACTCATCTCTCGGATTCGGAGCGAGCTCAGATCGACGCGATCAAAACGGCTGGATGGTCGAATCGGCGCATCGCAGCTAGGTTAGGACGGTCTTTCAATTGTATTAACACGTTTGTTAACAATCCGGACCACTACGAGACCAACAAGAAGAGCGGAGCTCCGAAAAAATTGACGGATCGAGACACGAGAAGCATCATCAGACTGGCATCCAATTCGATGAAGAGCTGTAACGACATAAAGAATGAGCTGAAACTGGATGTGAGCAAGTCCACGGTCTGGAGAACACTGGACAGCAATCAGAACATTGTCCGAGCCAAGTTAATGTCCGCGCCGATGCTCACCGATGATGTTACTGGCACGACCTGAAGAAGGATCCCCTCCATTTCTCCAAGCGTAACTTCGGTGTTGGTCGTCTTATGGTCTGGGGAGAATTCTCTTCTGCCTGTACTGTGGATTTGGCGTTCGTCTCCTTCAGAATGAACTCGACAGACTATCAGGATGTCATGAATGCCAAACTGATCCCATATCTTCGCCGTTTTCATCGGCGTCAGCTCACATATCAACAGGACAATGCTTCGATTCATGCGAGCAGATCGACTTTGGACTGGTTCAAGTCCAAAAAAATCAAGATGATGGATTGGCCGGCTTGTTCGCCGGATTTGAACCCAATGGAGAATGTTTGGGCTGAACTCGTGCGCGTCGTATATGGTCAGGGAAAGCAATACCAGACCGTTTCTGAGCTCCAAACTGTCATCGTGGACGCATGGAAGAACCTGAAGAAGCCTTACCTCCAGAAGTTGTTAAATTCCATGCCAAACCGCTTGTTTTCTATTATTTCCACTGGTGGAAAGCCCACAAAGTATTGAATTGAATTAAACTTTGTTAATGTTAAATTTTCCGGGGGTGAACCTATACTTATGAAACGCTCGTTTTTCAAAAAAAACTTTTTCTGACATAAAAAATTTATTTTTTGTAGTAGCGGTCTAAAAATTGTGGGCGATATGTATTTTTACATGGACTTCAATATTATAACAACCCCAAACCTCCAAGATTTCCCACCTTGTCTACCGAGGGTGAACCTATACTTATGAAACGCACTGTATTTGAGCACGCTAACGGTTTCCGACACAAATGCTCGTCACAGAACTTAATAAGAACGTAGTTTTTGTAGTGAGAGTAGTTATTATCAAGGTTTGTGCTGTTGCCAAACTACATAGCACAGTTTCATAGTCAATACTGTTTATTAAATAGATCGTTTTTGCATGAACAAAATAGACAAAATGATTTTTTATTCCAGAGCCTTGCTGATCATTTCGGAGAACTTTCCGTTGTTGGCTCCATTGAAGGTGTCCTTGGTGACACCGTTGACGATGAGAATGAATGTTGGCATAGAGGCGACTCCATACTTTTCGCAAGCTGCTTCACATTCATCGACATCGATTTTTAGAACGGACAAACGATCTTGATGTTTCGCAGCTTGTTCTTCAACAAACGATTTTATCATTTGACAAGGACCGCACCTGAAAACATTCGCCTGATCATAAGTAGCTGATGCTTGAAGTATTCAAAGACATTGATGAGCATACCATGCAGCAGTGAAAAACAGGATCACTGGACGACCCTTTTTCTCTTCAAACGTCGAGTTGAATTCTTCATCGCTTTGAATTGGAATCGACATACTCAAAAAATTATGTTAGAAAAAATAAATTGTTATAGAAGTTCTGAAAGAAAATAAGTTTTACCGCACAACACGAAATGTTAGAATTCGTAGAAGTTCAAGGCTGAATCAGAAACATGTTTACTTTAATCAACTCATAATCACAATAACATTTGGCATGAAAATAGTAATAATTAGGACATAATTTGGCTGGGTGCAAAAAAAGGACCATTTAGGAACAAGAGATACGCATAAACAGGTCCTGATAGGCCAAGATGTAGTGGAAGTAAAAGTGGGGAAAGAATTGAAACAAAACTCCGTTTTGAGCAACAATGTGAAAAAGCGGGAAGGCAAAATTGTGAAGCATACAAATGATAAACTAATCAATGAAAACGAATCGGTTGATGAGAATGAACGGGAGGGAAGGTGGAAAAGTGAAGTATCACAGAAGTTTTGAAGGGTAGTCGATTCTAGAGAAAACACTCTTCCGTTTTCGAGAATCGGTATTGCACTGGGAAACGTGGAAAATTTACACGAACGTAGGATGGCTAAGAACGAAGCTTCTCCAAAGCAATAACTCTCGCTTCCAAGGCACGGAATCGATCCAGAAGATCATCGTACTCGGACCGACTGACATACACGGAGGAAGAGGAAAAATCCGGAGACTTCCCGCTTTCTGGTGAAGCTAACTTTCTGATGACTGATGAATCTGAAAACCAACAATACAATTTTCTCAAAAATGCAAAACAAAAATACCATGGTGTTCTGTAAAATTGTTACTAGCAATAGGGCGAAGTGCAGGTTTCGATGCAGAAGACGGTGGAGCAACAGTCGCTGGAGCTGCAGATGATGTTTTGAATGGTGAAGATGATGTGCTGTTGGAAGGAATCAGAATATCCTTAGTGGCAGGAGCAACAAACATAGAAGCCGACATAGCGTTGATTGTAGATACAGAGGTTGGAGAACTAAGGCGGCCAGTTGGCGACTCGTCCGATGACTGAAAGGTTAACTTTAAAAATAGTAACTTTTGTAATTTTTGTATTTTGCAAAACCCCTTTTCCTTATGTGAAAAAAGGTGTGACTGGTGAATAAATAAACGGTTGTTGCATTTTAAAACAGAAGCGATTCGCGTTTCTCAATTTTCAAAATTGTTCCCTGACTTTCCAAGTAGATTTTGAAAACAAACTGCTAGGGTTAAGTGAAGGTTTGTTTTTTTCTTGAAAAGCATTAAAAAATGTAGCCTACCCGATGACGATTCATCACCATGCTCATCGGGCGGTTTTTCGGTGGGCGTGCACGATTTTTGGTAATGTGCTGTAACTCGGTGACTTGATCCCCGCTGCTGTTGTTATCGATTGGCGTTTCTCCGTTCGATGATTCAATTGTAGATGACCGATCTCGTGGTTCTGTAGGCTTCTGTTGAATGGAAGCCACCTTTTCTGGTGCAACAACTTTCAGGTTCTGAAAATTTTTGAATACGCTTCAATTTCATATGCTTCTCACATACGTTGGACATTTTCTCTCGAAGAGCAGCAAAGTTATTGTTTTTGGACGCATTTACAGATGGCATGTTGTTGGTTGAAGTTGTTGCCACAGGAACTATAGGAGCTTGGGAAGCAGGAAGAATAGTAGATGGGATTGGGTCAGTCTGTAAAAAACAAGTGAAAATGGTGAACTGATGGAATTTATTTTTGAGAGAAAAGCGAAAAAAGAAGAGGCGCCGACGGCTTGACAGCTAAGAATTCGAGAAAACGATCATTTTTCGTAGGAGGAAAATTGTCTGTGTCTCCTGAATTCTTGCGGTTTCTACCTTTCTACCCGGGAAGAAATGAGGGAAAAATGATGTGGGTGGAGACAGTTGATTTTCGAAAAGAAAAACTCACTGTAGCTACTTTCGACGGTTTCGGAGGAACAGCAGGCTGAGGTGGGTTCATTGGCGGAGGTTTATGAGACAAATTGAGAGCCGTTGCCCGTGACACCGACGAATATTTGGCTCCGGATTCGGTACCAACTGGTACCTGCACCAATTCTACGAAATTGTCCGGGAAGAGGCCTTTCTTTCCATTTAGTTCTCCCTCAAACCATCCTGCATCTCCGCAATTCTGCAAGTTTTTTGATGTTATGTAATTATTATTAACCGTTTCAGTATATTTAGCTCACTATAAATCGCCAGAGACAAGCGAGAATGTTTAAATTAGTCTCAGAAAATTCTGGTCATTTTTCTAGAACTTAGATTCTCGATAGTTGAAATACATTAGAATTTCTTGAGCACCTTTTTTTACATCGTTGTTTTAAATACAAAAAACTCACCTTCGTCGTGATGTTAAGAAGCATGTCAATGTCTCTCAAAGCAAGCTCATCATCATGTTGAGGAACATACACAAATTTCACACGTGCCATTTCTGAAAATTTTCCGGTAAGGTTGTGCTACTAGCTCATGAGTCACTCGCCTTTCATTTTCAAAGAATCTGTTGAACTGATTTCAGAGCTCGCTGAAGATGGCAGTACTGTAGAAACATTGGAATACTTGGGTTCTGTGGTTTTAAGAACAGAAGGCTGCTCAGAGATAATCTGAAACGGAAAAATGAGCCTGGTTTCCGGAAATATCGCCTACCGTCGAAGGAGTTCTATCAATGGCTTTGGGCTCAGCTCGCATCACAACTTCACTGTTTCCAGTTTTCGGACGCGCGGCAGAAGTCGTGGCAGTTGCGGAATTCGTAGCAGTTGCGGCAGTCGTGGTGGAGGGTGGTGTAGTTGGAACAACTTTCGGAGCCACGAAATTAGTGGGGAACATTCCGATTGTGCCATTCGACTTCAATTTCCCTCGACTCCAGCCATCTTCGACTTCGTTAATTAGCTCAATTATATCTCCAGCAACAAAACTGAGTTCATCTTCTTGTTTCGAACTGTATGCGTACGTTGCAACAAAAAGTTGAACTGGAGGTTGAGCAGAAATTGTGGGGAGGGCTGAAAACAATTTTTAGAAAATCCTGGTGAATAAAAATAAGGCGAGCCCAGGTACTGAACTACTGAAAAATACTAACGTCTTCTGTCAATCTGCTGATGAACTGAGAATGGTGCACGGTTGGTCATGTCCCTCGAGAGCCGGTTTACCATATCTCGCACATTTCCAGGAACAATGTCAGACTGAAAGTAATGATGCCTCGTTTTCAAATCAATTTTCTCATATTTAATTTGAGCTATATATATAAACTGATTAAGTAAACAATTCTCAATTGCAATAATTACGCAATACTTACTTCCACTTGTGCCATGCCTCACTTTGATTTCAGATCTGAATTTCGAAAATCGGAGTGGGCGTATGTTGCGATACAATTCTGAAAATTCAATATTTTTATTTTAATATTGAGAAGCAATGATAGAAAAAAGACTCAAGACAGCTATTACAAGTTGCAGAGAAGGAAAATCGATAAGAACTGTTTGCGACATCAAAAACGAGGAAGACGGTGACTACGCTATCAGTTCGAGAAAAAAGACCCAGCTGCGACCATGAATAGTTTTATACGTGGTGAAAATAGCGGTGCATTGCAGAATAGGCTGTGTTTCGCAGACTTCACCGGTTGCTGTTACCCTCTCTCTCTCCAATGAGTCATGGCGCCGCGTTCAATGGGGGAATCGGTGCGCCCTCACTCTTTTCCTATCGAGCGGGAAGATCAATCACTACGAACACCCTATGCTTTCGCGTTGATGGTCTTCGAAAAAAAACGCGGTCAAAACAATGAAATCTTGACAGAATCTTGATCAAGATGACGATTTGGGTAAGTTAAATGCTTTACTGAAAAGAAATTAAAAGGATGTTATTCTGGCTTTTTTCCAATGTTTAACGGCGGTATTGCTGGTAAGGAAGAGGGAAGAGTCTAATTTTGTTTGTCAACGTCTTCTATAATAGAAGTTCTGACACAAAAAGTATCATGTTACGCTGAACTTTTTCAAAACGACGATTGTAACATAGAAAAACATCACGTTCAATCTGTCTCAGGAATGAGGGTAGTGCGAAGGTAAGTGTATATGTGTTGTGTTTCGTTTGCTAATAAACAGAATTGGAAAGGAATAGAGAGAGTATGCGGTGAGCGTAAGAGGAAGAAAGATGTGGACAGGTGTACGGATGGACGAGGATCCATTGAATTCATTATAAAGAATACATTACCAGTCATCGCAGGCAGAGTGAACAGAGAAATTGGTGGCAATAGGTTCAAGTTCCGTTGGGTTGGAATAAAAAACTTGGATTGTTTGCCGAAAAATGGAAGTGCGAAGAGGCGGAAATATGAGTCACAAGAGTTGATCAGAAACAAACACCTTACCAATTTATGAGACAATTAGGTCAAAAAAAGGAACTGTTTGCCTACATGTTTTATATATAAATTCTATTAATACAATTTTTCTGCCGAGGCTTTTTTTTCAAAAAAAAATCACATTTTGTGAAACTTCAACGAATCCCTTGAGTGAAAAACCTCAAAAGCTAAAAAACTTCACCAAGAAATCCAGCGAAATACAAAAAAAATAAAACAATATTTACAGTAATCGTTTTTAAAGGCACACTCAACAAAGAATATTGGTCTCGCACAGATTTTCAATGCAGTGATTCAGAATTATATCGAAAGTGTTAAAAATTGTTTATAGCGAAAAAAAACAAATAAACAGAACATTTGAAATTTTTTTCTAGGACTTTATTGCGATATTCATCATATCGAGTCTCTCCAAAATTTGGAAGGAACTGCTTATGAGAGCACACCAACTGGGAGGAAAAGAAAAAGTGGGAAGAACCATCCGCGAGGAAAAATGGGCGGAGCCTAATTTGCAACCCTGGCACG